CTCTATGAGCACACAGTAGTGAAATTATAGCCAATCAGCTTGATAAATTGCACTAAATTAAATGCATTTTATGGGAAATGTAATTTATTTCTAGTTAGACATTGTGATACTTTTTTTTCCCTCTTTTATTAATATTTCCACATAATATATGGCTTTTAGTGGGAAGTATTATGTCATGAGAAATGTTTAATGTCAGAAAATAAAAAGTCCACACTTTTAAAATATTACTGTTTACAAATCAGACCATTTCTAAATTAGCCAAAAATTGTGAGTGGGTCCATGTGTTCTGTTCCCTAACTCTTTAAACATCAAAAAGGACCATCTTCAATCTCCAATTGCTGCTCCAGCTTTCCGCAGGATATCACAAAACTTCCTGGCAGAGATTTTTAAACAAGCTGAGAAGTTTTATAAGATAAAAATATTTTTTCAGTTGACTTGACAACCATGTACAATGTTAGTGGAGAGTTTATTTGCCCAAGGCTCTTTTTCAAAATGAATTTAAACTGAGATTATTAAAATGGAGTTCAGTTGCACAGTATGAAGAGAGGTGTTGCTAATGTCTTATTTAGAGAATGTTTTCCATGCGGCGCATGCTACTTGGTTACAAAGCTTTATAGAGCGGTGCATTTCTGCTAAAACAGCAGAGGCACTGAATGTTACTCAAGAACACAATAAATCATCTACAGAAACGATGAGTTTTGGTCCAGAAAGAGCAACGTTCTAATGGGGTGGTGTAGAGGTCTGTCTGCTTAAGCATCAGATGCTTGAGTGTAAGCCACAGGTCCACCATTAACCTCAGTTGCCCCTCATTAGTAAAGTCCTAAGCATTGTAATAGAAACATTATGGGGAGATTGTGAGGATTAAATTATGTCATCACTGAAAATGACTAATAAGTGGGCTGGCACAGGTCTAGGTCCGCCATGAAAAATTTTTTTTTTTATTTCTGATCCGTACAATCAGGACTAAACAATGTCTCCTCATCATTCCAGATGTGTGGCAGAAAAAAAGTCTATCCCAATTTAACGATAATCTCTTGTGTTACAAGTTAAATAGCTTTAGGAAAATTTCACTAATGATAAACAAAGCTTGACTCACCCAGATTCTCCACGGCTAAAACTCTAGTCCTAAATGAGAAGCAGCATCCCACAAGGAAAAGGATTATCTGGACTAGAGGTTATAAGCTTCTCAGTTTAGAAAATCAGAGTCCTTGGGGGAAAATGTCTAGATTGCTAAATCTTGGAAGCACTCCTTTTCCTTCTCTCGAAGGAACACATACTTTAGGAAGTTTTATTATTTTTGAGGGAAAAAAAAAAACAGTGGCCATTCAGGAAGAATGGCATTTGTGTGTGGTGTGCACGACCACATCCCCATAGATGGAGGAGTTGAACATATGCCATGTGGTGAGTGGTCAGGGAAGAATGGTCATCACGATGCGTGCTCCAGCTGGGCTATGTGGCCTAGGTGAGCTTGTGATGCTGTTAGAAAGCCACTGTAGCAATCTTTATCTATTTGTGGGAATATTCCATAACTGTGATTTCACAATTTAATATCCACACAAATTCTTGCCATTATTATATTAGGGTTTTTTTTTATGAGCACTAAAACCAAAGAAAGCAACACAACACAATAAGTTGATCTCCATGTGTCTTTAGACGAATCGGAGTAACACAGTAGAATCCATGACTTCCTGCGCAGTATGAAGGATCTTATGTCTGAGGCATTGTGCAGCTACTCTACATCTTCCTCATATGGTCTTTCCAGAGCATAAGTCAGAGTATATAGAACACTGGAGAACACCAAAGTATGTTTATGTGTCAGTTATCACCTAACTTGGTGGGAAGAGTGAGCTTAAATCTCCAACTTCAGGGGACACATAAGTTAAGCTGTAATTCTGGTAACCATAGGCACTCTCATTCCTGTCCCAAATGCTCCGCTTGTGACCCAGGAGGGTTTTGCCCCGCTGCCACCACCACCCTCATGGGAGAACCACATGAACTCCTCAGTCCTGAATTTGGCCTGGTACAGCCCTGTCCATTGTAGCCCATCTGTGGAGTGAAGCAGAGGATGAAAGAGCTCTCTCTGTCCCTCTTTCTTTTTCCCTCTCTCTCAGTCTCTCTGTTTCTCCCCTTCTGTAACTTTGACTTTGGAAAACAGAACTAAATCTTAAAAAACAAACTAACAAAAAAAGCCCCTCTAACTTCAATTGTCTTTTCACTTGACCCTTTGATACTGTATAGGTTCATACATGTTCTGTGTGCTCCCTTAGTTTTTTATTTAAGTACAAAGATTGAAAAAAACTCTACTTTCTACTTTCTGTTAATTATTCTGTTAATGTGTGTTAATTGAGAAACTCTTTGAAGACATGAATTCATATATTAAGGAGCAATATGAGTATTCCATGAGTATAAGTAAAATGTGACAAAACAGTGTATTATCAGTTTTATTTGGAGCAGGAATTTCAGTTAGCAGAAAATGTGATAGAATCACTGCTAATTTACTAACATAGATGAAACTTATTTATTCCTTCCACGTAATTTCTTCCTTCAAAAATGTTTAATTGTAGCAGTTGTGACTTTCTGATAGTCTTGAAAATGTTTAATTTGTGAAAGTTTATTTTTATTTTCCCTAGTGATGTTTCTTATAATTCAGTGTTATAACATGATGTAGGTATTTTTATAAATTTTTCATATGAAAGACAGTTTTATTATATAGACCACAAGGAAAGAGAAAAAGGATCATTAGGCTCAATGTCTGTGAATTAGCAGGTACAAAAACCAAGACAAAACAAAACAAACACTTTCCTCTTTCTGTTTGTTCAGTACAAATCTCAATTCACAAACAGCAAGTTTCATGGCTTATTATGAGAATTGTGTAAATGATTTCTGAAATAGCTGTGATGCTACATGATGACTTGGTATAATATTTCAATGTAGGTTATAGAGTGTGATTGACATACTCCAAACTTCTATGAAATAGTTGTCTGCAATTTGGAGCCGTGGGATGGTATAGAGGCACAGTAGATAAAGCTGCTACCCACAATACTGGCATTCCCTGTCTGGAACATCTGACCTGTATATCCAGTCCTGCTCCCAGCTAATGTGCTTGAGAATAGAGCATATGATGACCCAAATACTGCCACCCACACACGAGGCCACTGCCACCCACACATGAGGCCCCTGCCACCCACACATGGATTTCTAAACTCCTGGCTTTGACCTGGCGCAGCCCCAGCATTGCAGTTGTATGGAGAGTAATCCAGCTGATGAATTATCTCCGTCCCTCATCTTTCTGTAATGCTTTTTCATTGTCAGTTTCTTTGTCTCTCCCCTTCCCCTGTTTCTTCTTTTCAAATAGACAAAATCTAAAACTAACATACAACCACATAATTTGGAGAGCTAATCCAAAGTTTAAAGGTGTAATCTAGGCTAGACATTGCAGTAAATGTTATTCAGAGAATCCTGTGCCTAGCACAGGAAGAGATGTGCTAAAAATATAAGTAGGTGAAGCTGAAGTTAGTGCAAGAAGTAACCTTCATTACTCTTGAAGGTTAAGTAGAACGCTTTTAGGCAACGAAACTGAAGTAAAGGTACATTGGAGAAAGTGGGAGCTGGAATTCACAGACGCCCAATGTGTACTGATTTATACATTGCTTTCCAATTTCTCATTGTGTAACCATTTTCAGTTTCTTCTCCAAAATTAATGCTGTAAGTATTCTTAGCTCACAGGGTGGCTTAACTCAAGCTATAAAGCCCATAACATGGTATAAGACACATGAGACATACTAAATAATTAGTTGCAAGAAAATAAGAAGCAGCAAAATGTTGGGAAACTGTAAGTTATTTGGTATTACTGAACAGCAAATGCAATAAGTGACATGGAAGAAGTTGAAAGCACCATGTGTTGGTTTAAGAAGCTGGAATTGCCCCATAGGTGACAAGAAAATAGACAAATGTCTTAATGAGATTGGGTTTTAATACCTCCCACTAGGGTAGTTAGAATACTGTAATAACTGCTGAGACTATATATAGTATAAGAATATCATATATTCCTGTTTATAGTCATAATAGAAATAGAAAGGAGATGACAGTTGAGATAAATATTTAGAAAGTGCAATTGGCAGGGTTTGCTTCTAACACTTAGTAAACTAAATAGCCTGGGTGATAATTTGAGAGAGGCGCGAGCACATAATGGCTTGAATATTCTTTATTTGGCTGACTTAGTAGCTAGTGAAAGCATTAAAAACATGCACAAGAGACAAGGGGATTCAAGGAATAAATTCAGGATAGGAATTTAAAGCAAAGAGCAAAGTCTTTAAGAGCAGTTGAATTTAAGGTGCCTGTAGAACAATCATTTATAAATAAGAGTTACAGAATAGAGTTTCAGCTTGAAACAACAGATTCCCAGAGCCTATGCAACTGTACCATAACATTAAGAAATAATAATAAAATAAAAAGACAGGCAAGAAAATATTCATTCAAGGGATAAAGATGGCAAAGGTAGAAGGTTTCCCAGGGACAGTTTGTGTTCTAACAGGTTGGAAAAGATGGGCTAATGAAACAATTACCAGATAATGGCAGGTTGGTAGTCCAGTGAGCTTTCAACTTTGATAAAAGATATGGATTCAGATTTTGAAAAAAATTAGGCAAGAGAAAGAATCTAGTAAAATTGGTTAGATATGGATTCTTTTTATATGTTATATTGTTATGCAATAATTATATCTGCATTTGGATTAATGGAATATATCAAAAACATTTCATAGCCACTTCATTTCATAGACTGGGTAAAAATTTTTAATTAAATACAAATATTTATTTTAAATCTATGTCATGGAATTTTAACATAATCTAAAATCAAATGTAATTTTTGAAATTAATTTCTTTAAAATAATTCACTTCTCCATTATCTTGAGTATCTATATTATTCAGTTGCAGTTCTGGAAATGTAACAGTAACATTTTCTCAATATAAATCTTTTTTGTTTCAATTATATTCTGAATCAGCATGGGTATTAACCATGACAATGACCACCCATCATGTGCTGACGGTCTTCATATCATGTCTGGTGAATGGATTAAAGGACAAAATCTTGGTGATGTGTCATGGTCCCAGTGCAGCAAGGAAGATTTGGAGAGATTTCTGAGGTACTGTGTTCCTTTACTGCTATTGACTTGCACGTGTGTGCTGCACTGTCTGCCAACTCAGGAAGCCAACATGTAAAGTGCAAAGGCCACCAAGGAGGAAATCGAGGTGACCCATGGTGTGGATTGCGACATGTTATCCAACCCATATATTTTTGAGTTTACACATGATGGGCAAGCTGACTTGTAAGGTTGAAAAAATGTAAATATGAGAAAATCTGTCACAATGTTTAATTGCTTTTTCTTTAGTATTTCCCCAGTGGAAAATGTTCATTGTAACCCAACCTGTCTGTAGCTATCAAAAGAGAGCCTTTTTTTTTTAAACAAAATCACTACTTTTCCAACATAATCTTTCTAAACCTGTTTCACTATTACAAGTGTGTTTGAAACTCTTCTTCCTTCAACAAGAGTAATACTAAGTTCTGTTTGTTTGGGGAAAAAATGAATGTTATTTTTCTAATTTTCATTTAAATCCCTGGTTGCTTTCTTGCTTGCTTTCTTGATAATAGGCTGGCTGAAATAAGAGGTATATGTAAAATTGTTAGAAAGATGTTTATAGCATTGTAAAGTCTAAGTAATCTAAGAACTCTTAGCTAGCTAAAATTGCTAGAGATTATAATACTATAATCTTATTTAAAAATATGTGTAGTATATTCTGTGCATACATGCCATGACAGCATAGAGTACAACATTCTAGCATGTAATATTTTGGATATGCCATCAGAATTTGCAATATTATCCCTAGGAATATGTTTCTAAGGACATGTATGATCTTGTATGATTATCCTAACATGAATCAAGATTGGGAAGAAATTTAATTTCACTTGAATCAGAGTTTCTAAATCCCACAAATATATTAACCAATATCCACCTCACAGGATAATGCGAGCCACTTGATTAAGCTTCATAAACCAAAGTTCTTTTAATTTGAAGATTATTTTTACTTATTAGGATTATCTTAAATAGTTGGAAATAAATGATTCTCATATATGACATTATTCTAGTAGCATTCCATTGAAGAGTTTGTAAATAAGAGGGAAAGTATTTTTTAACGTAAAAATTTCCTTTTACTCTGTTAACTTTTCACAACGACTTCTTGTGTTAAATTAAAAATTTTTCATTTCTTCACCTTGCCAGGTCAAAGGCGAGTAGCTGCCTTCTACAGACAAACCCCCAGAGTGTCAATTCTGTGATGGTGCCCTCCAAGCTGCCAGGAATGACCTACACTGCAGATGAACAGTGTCAGATTCTCTTTGGGCCATTGGCTTCCTTTTGTCAAGAGATGCAGGTAAGGAATCATGTATAGATTGGAAAAAGTGAAGATTGATTTATGTGAGAGTTTATAAAAGCTATCCAGATGTAAAAAGAAGACTTTTCTAGGAAAAGGTTTGTACATTTTTCTCCCTTTCAAGGTAGAAAGTGATAGAAACAAAGCTTGGATGGGCATGGCTGCCCCATGGATATATTTTTAGAAGCATAGAAAATGAGTGTTGGTTTCTATATAATTGAGGAGAGTTGGGGCTAGCTAGCCTTGGAGCATAGCTGGTTAAAACTCCTTTTGTGATGCTCACGTCATATTTTGGGGTGCTGGTTCAAGTCATGGGTGTTCTACTTCGAATAGTCATAATTACCTAGACAGTAGTGGTGTTAGTTCTAGATAATCTAAAAAATGAGGAAAAACGGCTATCTTAGCTGATGCGATTTTCAGTTCTATTTACTTTCCTCTCGTTAATTCTATCTTTCTATTACCCATCTTCTATTTGGTCTCTTCCAAGCACACACAGACACATTGAACTTACTTCTTTGTCTATCTCTGAAAATGTAACAATTGGTCTTTAAATTCTTAGGCATTTCTCAATATGTTAGGTATTGCTTTTTGTAAAACTAAACACTGTCCAGTCCAAATAAGTCCTTGAGCCCTTACCACCCATGTGGTATGTTTATATGTATGTGTGTATGTATGTAATCACACATACACACACTCACATAAATGTACAGGGGAATGTACAGGAGGCCAGGCACCAATGAAATGCTGAAAGTTGTGAAAACATTTTTTCAGAAAGAAAGTGATTAGCTCTGTCAGAAGCTGAAACTGAAGTGGAATAAATGAAAAGTCTGAGAATTGATTGCGATTATTGATATTTTCATCCCAAATAACTTGGCACAGAGTTATTCAAAGCTATATGGAAATGGACCAGTATGTAAAAGTCATTAACTCCACTTTACAAACATAAGGTGGAATATTTATAAATGCAAAGGGATGAATAGTTCTGTTTGTTCATCAGCAGGTTCACCTTGAAATAAATCATTGTGGTTGCCATATGTTCTAGTGTAATCTAAACTTTGCATTAAACATTGTAAAAGGGAAACTTTCACCTCACAGAAGCTGTTCTGATCCCTTTTGCCACTTTATCTTTAAAGTATAAATACTCAGTAAGTATTTCTTGAACTATGGGGTAATGAGTTGAAATTTTCACTCATGTAAATACTTGGTTCTCAGATATATGTCAAGGAAATAAGAGGCTAACTTAGGATATTAATGCATGACTATATTAAACCAGCATGCATGTTGTAATCAGTCATCCTCATGACCTTCCCACTGCCAAACAGTTATGAATAAATATCAAGATTTATGGGAGGAGAAATCCCAGCAACTTTTGGCATGTATTTTCTGGCAGAACCTGAGAAACAGTAAAGCTTTGAATCAGACAATGACAATTAACCCACAGCATCTGAGTTAGATATTTCTCTCCAGCAGTTACAGACAGACAGTAAGCCCAAGCACTGAAGATCTCAGCATTGCTTAACGCTGATCTAATTAAAGATATAAATTTACCCGTAGGATAACAATTCACATCTGTAAAATGTTTAAAGGCACAGAAGTAGCAACGCTTGTGAAACATCTTGACCCCACCCCAGCAGTAAGTCCTTACTCTTCTGCATTAATTTGCAGATTTAATGGCTAACGTCTTGCATAGTGCTGTTCCTCAGTCTAAGCAGTTGGGTGCCTTTAGGCCATCTGGCATCTTATGGCTCAGTCAGCTCCAGTTCCGCCAGATCATTGTAAGAGCTTCCTTAAATTACTTAGCCTGGATGGGAATCCAGAGATTTAGAGACATAGTTCCCTAGAAACAGAAAGTCTCCCTGTGTCACCTTTGTCAAGGAAGAAGGAAATTCATTAAATCAGAGATTCCAGGAAATTTAACGCACTGCCTTTGTTTTTGAACTGGTTACATGGTGACTCCATACATGTTAAATGTATAGAGAGCCTTTATTAATGTTAAATCTGACTTTGAAAATTAACATAGAAGGTGCCAGTTTTACATTTTTCTAATTATCTGCTTGATTCACCAGAATATGTAGAACTTTCTAAAACCCTCTCATCTGACCCAAAGAACATTCTGGTACTGAAATGAGATAACTGATAAAGAAGTCTAGAAGACTGTGTCTGTAGTTTAGGAAAGTTCAGAGGCAGGAGTAATTTGAACTTAAACAACTTAACATAAAATGCTTAGAGGACAGAGATCACATTATTTTGGACTTTTTGCAAAGCAGCAGTAGTGAATAATGTATCGTGCTGGCAAAGGGAAAGAGGGCTGACACATCAATGTAACATAATGAAGAGTCCATAATAAAGAGTCTCCCATAGCTATAGAGTTGACAAGGAAATTCAGTGGGTGAAGGACAGCCTTTTAGCACATTGTGTTAGGACAACTGGACATTTGTCTCTAAATATTATATGATTCATTATATATTCTATAATTATATATGGGTATATAAACATATAATTAATATTCATATGTATTCTAAAATTCACCCCAAATTTATAAAGCTATAATACATTAGCAAAAGTGCAGAGCAGCTGTTGATTTTGCAGGACATCATAGCGTGAACCATAAAAGAACCAAAAAATCCACTTAGTTTAAAATTTTTCAAAGTAATATAATTTCCTCTGAAGAAAGCTGTTAAAGTAAGGACCATAGACTGGAAGAAGATATTCATAATAACCATGTCTGAAAAAGGAATAATTCCAGAATGTATAATTCCTCTAATATTCAATAAACACCAAGCAATCCAATAAAATGGACAAAACATTTGAACATACAATTCAGAAATGAAGATATGCACCAAGCTTCTTAAAAAAAATTCCTGACATCATTAACATTACATCAAGTAATGCAAATTAAGCCTATAAAGTGCTATGTCTGCCTACCCACTAGAATGCCTTATGTTTAAAGAACTGAACATACAAACCATTGCACATAATACAAAGCCACTGGAATTCTTAAACGCTGCTGTTGGAAATGACAAATGGTACAATCACTTTGAATAACTTTTAGGTACTTTTTTCTTAAATAGATAAATATTCACTTATTTTTGCAATCTTTTTTACTCCTAAATGAAAACCACCCTTTCTGACTTTGTTTATAACTTTTTTTTCACACATCTGTAATCTGTTCAGGTGAATATGCTATATGCCTCCAATGGAAAGCCAACTGTTGTATTAGTGTTCTATGGATAAGTATTGGTTAGACCAAAGTGCCTAATACAGTTGCTTAACTGAACATCTGTCTGCGTATTCCATTAACCACTAAGATGGGGAACTTAAAGAGAATGCTGATTGTGTAATTGCCTTCTCTTTATAATTATTACTTTATGAAGCTCTAGTGTTGCTAACAGTCACTGTGTTCTTGTATCTTCTTGTTCGATTGAGTCTTATTCATAATGAAAAATCTATCAGTGGTAACATCCTTTATATTGACATTTATTACATCTAATTAATCTGAAATGTTTGTTTATTTTGTGCATGAGTCAGTTTTCTCCATTTATTCATTTAATGTGAGCCTAGTGATAAACATATATTTGGGATTTGTTTTTTTCTTAATTTGAAAATTTTGACCTTCTAATTGGGATACTTAATCCACTGATGTTTAAACATTTTGGATTTAGGACTAGCACTTTTTGATATGCTTTCTTTTGTAACTCTTTCCTTCCCTCTGATAAATTCCCATGCTTTCTTTTTATATTATCTGAATACATTTTAAATTCTTTTTTAAATCATAGTTCTAGAAAATTTTTTCTTCCTAATAAGTGAAATAATCTCTTTGCTCTTTACTCATTTTTTCTGTCTTTTCACATGATGGCTTTGCTCGATGGAAGAGTCCATGTGGATTTGCTACTTACTTGTCTGTGTTTGGACTTCATTCACCTCCTTGTGCCTGTGAAGTCTGTGTAGTCAGCTTATCTCAGAAATGGAAAACATTCAACATACTCAGTTGGCTGTGGCCAAATCGCTATTAAGAGATACCTTTTCTAGGATGTGTGTAAGATAGAGTTTTGATATTTCTTGTCAGTGAATATAAAACTTATAATTAGTGGCTAAAGTCCAACTATGGTCACTTAAGGTAATCAATAGTTACACTTTTTTTTAACCTTTTTTATCCCGTCTAACCATGATTTTCTAGGGCTTTCCGGTTAGATCATAATCCTTTCCTTTAAAAAAAAAAACACATAATTTAGAAGTATCTTTTGTGTATAATTCTATTGGGAAATGTTGGTTTTGTTTGTTTCAAATAAGTTTTCTTTAAAGTCCATAGTACATTTTAATTAGTATCAAGAAGTCCTGATTGACAGCATTTTGCTTGCCTCTTTGAAGGCATCGTGTATCCACTTCTTTATATTGATGCCAAAGAGTATCTTATCTATGCTACTAATCTTAAAACTTTTGGGCCAGTGTTGTAGCATAGTGTATAAAGCCGCACCTGCAACACCTACACCGCACATAGATGCTAGTTTCAAATCCCAAATGCTCCACTTCTGATCCAGCTCCCTGGAACGGGCCTTGGAAAGCCATGGAAGACGGCTCCAGTGTTTGGGCCACTGCATTCATATGGAAGTCCTGGCTCCAGGTTTTGACTGCCTAAACCCCTACAGTTGTATCAGTTTAAGGAGTAATCCAGCTGTTGGGAGATCTCTTTCTCTCGTTCTGTAATAGTGTCTCTCAAATAAATGAATAAATAAATCATTCTGGGGGAAAAAAAAACACAACTTTATCATGTTGCATTGCCTGTTTCTATAAATGACTTCATTGTGTGTATTAAACTTTCTTTAACATATTTAAATGTGAGCCCAGCGCGGTAGCCTAACAGCTAAAGTCCTCACCTTGTACACTCTGGGCTCCTGGCTTTGGATTGGTGCAGCTCCTGCTGTTGCAGCTGCTTAGGGAGAGAATCAGTGGGCAGAAGATCTTTCTTTTCTGTTTCTCCTCTTCTTTGTATATTTGCATTTCCTACAAAAGCAAAATAGATCTTTAAACAAAATATATGTAAATGTAAGTTGATAGTGGTAGGCCTGTAGCGGGGAGGGTAAGCTGCTGCGTGGGGGTTAGGAAGTCTGCATGCGGTAATGCAGTGCCTGACTCTGGCCCCAGCTATTCTCTTTCCAATTCCCACAAATGCGCCTTGACAGGCAGCAGACGATGGCGTAAGCACTTGAGTCTCTGTCACCCACATGGCAGGTCCAGATGTGCTTCTAAGCATCTGGCTTCTCTTGCTGCCCTTCCCTCCCAGTGCCTTTCAAATAAACATTGCTTTTAATGTGTAAGTTCATAAAAGGTAAATCTCTGTATTCAAATCTCTCTGTCTCATGTGAATCTCACAAAGTGTTTAAAAGTGTGTCCTTCTGTCCATTCTCCAGAGTTTTCATGAAAGAAGGATGAAAGAGTGGAAATTTTGTTGAAAGATGTGTTATTTTTTTGACCAGGGGTATTCTTCAAGGTAAGGTAGCAGTTAGTTCTATCTATTCCAGGGTTAGAAATGTTTTCTAGTTTTAGCAAATACTTTGCATTTCATGTAGGTTGTCAGACTTACTGTAATAAAGTTGTTTACAATGTCTTCATATACACATAGATTTTTAAAATCCAATATCTTTAGTTTTATCCTTATTTTTATTCCTAGTAGGATTTAATATAACTCTTTTTCTTGATAAATTCTCAATTGTATTGTTTCCTATTCTTTAACCTCCCTTCCTCTTTCTCACACACATGCATACATCAACACACTGTGTCATACACATAATAATAATAAAATATTTTGTGATTAAAAAAGAATCTTTAATAAAATATGATTCCATTGCAGTTTCATTTGTAGTAAAATGATGTTCGTGAAATTGTATTTTAGGAAATGATACGAAGAACAGCAAGGAGTTACCTACTCTAGGATTATTACTTCCATGTGCATGCACTTACGATTGTTTTACTTTATTATAAATTTCAGAACATTTTAAAGGATGTATCTGTTATAAAGAAACACCTAAGTGAGGTCCTTTGAAGATAAATTTTATGATATTTTACTTGGACAAATAACCCTCTTAAAAGTATAGTGTATTTAAGCATTTATACAAGTATTTAAAAAGCTTACTTGAGATAAACATCTAGGTTCTTATTATGGCTTTCAATGATCTCTTTTTATCATAGAAGTGCAAAAGGGAAATACTATATCCTTTATATTCTTTAGCCAGAAATGAGTAGCGTGATGCATTTCTATTGTAGATTTCTATGTAAAACATTTTAAGTTTTAAAACCGTTTTCTTATATTTTAGGTTGAAAAAAAAACCAGTATTTGACTCATGCCTGTATGACGTATTGAGCAAGTTTTTTTAAATCATAATCCAATACCCAGCCTGTCCCCACAGAAAGCAGTTGGTATTACATTGCTCTCCTATCACACATTTGCAACCTACTTTCAAGGTGAAAATAGTCCACATCATCTTCCTTCAATGTTTTCCTGCTCTCACTTTTGATGGTTTGGTTTGAACTCCTGAATCTGAGTTATTTTTAAGACTGAGACTGTAATTTACTTCCCAGAAGAACTGTAGACCTGCGGAGCACAAAGCAGCCAAAAGATCTCTAGGAGAGATTTATTCTACGTGACTATGCTTATTTTGAATGGCTGCCAAGTTTGCTTTTATACTCTCAGTGCCTCCGGTGGGAATCAATTAGAGTACCTGCTGTTTGCAGGAGCAGACAATGGTGGGAAGGCCAAATTCAGACCACCGACAGTGTTCAACAAGCAAGGGTTGCTCGAGAACTAGAGTGTAGAAAATTCCCTTGGGTGCTCAGTGTGCATTGATTAATGTAGAAACTTTACAAAATTGTTGCTAAAACACAACTGAGCTTTTGTTGTATGAAAGTGGTTTTTTAGAGCCCTTTTGTGGAAAATTAGGCATTTCATCCCTGATCACTAAACAGCTTCGTCAAAAGGGGCTTCGGGAGGAACTTGAGAAACTGAAGCCCCCAGATTAGAGTTTTGCACATTCAAATGTGCCCATAAAAATCTGAAATGAGTGCTTGGTCTCTGTTTATTTTCAAGAGTCTTAAATATTGTAGAGGGAAAAGATTTAGACATATTTTTAAATAATTTCCTAGGTAAATTTTGAGAATGTGCACATGGGTTGAGGTTAACAGTACATTAAACATGTTAGTATATATCCATGTGAAATATGCTGAAGAAGAAAAATGTGTCTCTCACAGTTGATGAAATAAGATGAAATAAATCATATCACATTTTCATCATATTCTATTAAGTCTTAGGAGCTCACATGTAATTTCAGAAATCTAAGCTTCATAATAAATATAGCAGAGAAAAATTGGGAAGTTGTGATAAATTCAATATTACAGTTGTAACACGTGTGAAATATTAAGTATATCCTTCTCAATGCATTTTATAGATTTGGATCATAACATAAGTTCAATGTTGCTATGATTTTTAGTGTGTTTTGAACATGCTCACCCTTCTAAAAAGGTATTTTTCTGATTAACCTACTGTTAACTGCTACGTAGCTGAATTTGCTGATATACATGGAACCTCTAGTCCCCCTAGGTTTTCTTTTTTCAAACTTATATGTCACTATTTCTTTCCATTAAAGCTCCTCCCACCCCGACCCTATGTACACGGAGATTATATTCCAAGGCACCAGTGGATATCTCAGCAAGACACAGTGATTATTGATAAGTAATAATAAAACCGATTTGAATATACACTATAGCACAAATTAAAGTTTGTCAGTGGTTTATGTCTGGAATTTCCAATTGAAATTTTCAGACTGCGGTTGATCACAGATAACTGAAACTATGAAAAGTTAAAACTTGTCTCTCATGTCACCTCTTGCTCTGCCTTTGTTCATTATTCTCCCCCACTTCCCTCCTTAGCTGACTGAATAGCTAGCTCCACTTCAGTCTCTCTAAAGATTAAGGACATTAACTACTTTGAAATGTGTCTTGTGTACTTCATATTCCGTCATGTGTGCGCAATATGCCTTGTTCTAAACGCTTCCAGAGTGACTAGTTACCCTCTCTATGTTTTTCCTCTTAGCTGGCCACTATAGCTAAAATTCTGATACTCTTTCCTCTTGAATTTTCTCATATAATGCTATTATGTCCACATTTCATCTGTTTTATCCTAGATTTTTGCAAAGTCTCTTAGATTTTCCTCTAGAAAAACTGTGTTGTCTCTGAAAGCTCTAAAATTCGTTCACATAGAGGTACCAGTTGACTTGTCATGGTCCTCCAGGAGTCTCTGAATGCTGTTAAGGAAGATGTTCCTGTGAAGTGTTGACTGGGACATAGAAGCAGAGAGTAAATCACCTGTGTAGGGGGGGAGACAACACTCCAAAGTACAAACACGGACATTTTTTCATGCAGCCCAGTCCATATCATGGTGTTAGCAATGGTTTTTAGTTTAGCTTTTCTGATGTCGCTACATAATCCTGCTCAACCGTATATGTTTGATTTAAGGAGACTGACCAAAAGTTTGATTTTATTCCATAAATATTTTGTAGTTGCAATACTCTCATCAGTTACACACGCAAAAAGTAAGTCTGAACTGTCTGTGTTTTCATATGTGCCTCTTTCACATACATTCAGTCATGTATTGTTCTAAATTTCTAATATTAAAAGAATCTAGGCATGTTCTTCTGTATCACTTTCTTTTGTTATGGAAACAGACATCTCAGAATTAATTTGCTAATCTTCAACAAAGTGATGTGTTTCCCTGATTAGTTATCGTACCCTTGTTTCAGCATGTTATTTGCACAGGTTTATGGTGCAAGGTAGAAGGTGAGAAAGAATGCAAAACCAAGCTAGACCCACCAATGGACGGCACAGATTGTGATCTTGGTAAGGTAAGTCAATGTTGCTGTGTATATGTATACAAATCATATATATATATATACAAACATAGCACAGTTTTTCAACCATGAGAAAATTATTTGAATGTGTAACCTCCAAACTATAATTAGTAGTTGTCTCTTGGGAGGGAAGTGGTGGTGATGCAAGGAAGGGCCTCAGAAGATGATACATAATATATATATGTATATATGTGTGTGTATATGTATATTTCACATATATTATATGTAATATAATATCACAGAAGTGTTAATATAATTTCTTTACAGACATTTCTGAATTCTGTGGCAAAGGCATGAAGTTACTTATAATTTTTAGAATTTCTATAATTAAGGAAAGAAAATACATGTACTAATTATTTAAATCTGTACTATTTAAAAGTCTAGAAGTGTGAGATCTCTAAAAACTGTCGATAAGAACATGATTTCATTTGGGCAGATGCAATGACTCAGTTGACTAACCCTCCAGCTTTAAGGGCTGGCATCTTACATGGGCATTGGTTTGAGTTCTGGCTGCTCTACTTCCTATCCAGCTCCCTGCTTAAGGCATGGGAGAGCATTAGAACTGTTCCAAAGCCTTGCAATCCTGTACCTGCATGGCAGATCCTAGTGGGACTCCTTGTTCTGGGCTTAGGCTTGGCTTACCTCCAGCTATTGCAGCCATTGGGGAGTGAACCAGCAGATGAAAGATCTTTCTCTCTGTATCTTCTCCTCTTTGTAAATCTGTCTTTCCAGTAAAAATAAATTAAACTAAAAAAAATCAGGAAATGGATTTCTTAGAAGGGATTTGTGTAAAAAAAATGTTTTTCATATGTAGACTATGAGGATATTTTTTGAAATTACACCCCAAAGTACAAGCTGTTTCTATTACAAGTCTCATGAAATTATGCTGAATAATTTATTTCTTGACTTTACAACCCCACACCAGCAATCATTTGCACCATGTAAACTGATAATCAAGTATTGAGCTCTAAAATCTTCAAATCTGCAATACCAATTTATTTTATTTAGCTATTTATTTAGTTTGCTTAATAACAGTCTTTCAATTTTTATAAGGTGGTATGCTCAATATTTTTCTACTATGAAGTTTTATTCTCATATTTAAAGAATATGTATTGTTGAGATCTCTAAACTTGTTCTTTCAGCAATCAACTGTTACTACTCATCCAAAATCACATTTTGTTTCCACATGCTTGTGTCAATAACTTTGTTTCAGAAGTTTTGTAATGTGTTTTGTGTATTGAAATGACTAACGAGTTCTCAGTTCCCCATGCCATCTCAGCTTCTTCCCAAATCCCTCTGCTCCAGTTGTGGTAGTCCACCATCATGGAAATAGCATCGCATCTCCCACTACTAGTGTGCGGTAGGGTGAACATATCTGAAAAACCAGAAGGCCTGCATGAAACTCCACTAGCTCTGTACATTGCATTCCAACGAACAAAGCTGGGAGTTCAATAATTCATAGCCCTGTAGTGTTGCTAATTGTACTGTATATATCTAATGTATATAAGACTATACATTTAACTATGAGAATGTGCCTACAGGTCTAAAATGATTTTGAAAGTAGAGATTTACACTTGCTATTGACAGCATTTTCCAAGTTAAAAACAACCTTTTCTTCCCCTTTGTACTGTTTTTTTTTTCTATTATTGCAAATGTATAATACAAACACATTAAATGGCAATTAATAATTTCATAAATTATTTAGTTAAAACAGTGAACATATGATTTTTTCTTTTAAATATTTATATTTGCTAGTGATGGAGAGAAGAAAAATAGAAATTAAAGACCAACATAATAGCCTATTCTGAAATAATATAAGGACACTTTACATATTAGTGGAAATATAATGAAAAGTTAAAGTTTATTTTGGCATGAACAGTTTTAAATTGTGTAAATGAAAGATCTGGAAAAATACGTATTATGAAAAATCTATGCATGGATTTCAATTTTTTGGCACCAATGTAAATTTACTTTAAAATTTGATGTTTGTAACTTTGTAAAATTTCTTGAATACCTTAATTGTAGGCTATAATCAGTTTGGTTTTGCATCTTCATGGACTTCATATAGGTGTGTTTGTGTGTGTGTGTCTGAGAGAGAGTTTGGTCATGTACTGTCCCAGTAGTAGGGTATATTAAATAATCCTTTAGCTTTCTCATAAATCAGATTGAATAGGTAGATGCATCTTTAATTTTTCAGATCATTTAATATCTGTTATGAGCCAATAAAATAAAAATGCTCTAGGAAAAAAAAACTTGTTAGAAATTTTACGGAAAGCATCATTGTGCATAGGTGTGACAACTGAAGCAAAACACTTGTGTTTTCCTCAGTGCAGAAGCACAGTGCCATCTAGAAATCACACAGGTGGAGCTCCTGTAGTCTCCTCCTGCATCATGACAGACTATATCTTGGGCTGTGCTTTCTCCAAAGTTCATTGATGATGTGAATTGACTTGCATTATCTGTTTCTATTTCTTCTCATCTACCAGATGTGATCTAGTTTAAATTATGTGCAAGTTAGGTCCCAATACTTCTCAGCACATTTTTTAGTCTTATATGAGTTCTAGTCAACTTGATGCTTAGTGGACAATGAGCTATGATGTGCCATATGGGAAAACTAGACACCCTCATGTTGGCCAAAACACTGAACAACTGAGCTTTGATGGCTTGCACATTTTTTTCCCCAGAATTGGCATAACTTTGTCAAGTCCTTTAAGCCAGCAAATATTGTAAAAGTTGTAACATGGCTGTTTTTTTTTTCTCCCTTTCCTAGTGTTCAGATGGTATCTCGTTTGAAAACTCAAATGAATTTCATGGGAATGTTAGATTCGCTTAGATGTACTTTGGATGGCGGAGGATTATCTTTTCTCAAGCTTAGATTTAAAACTTCTAAAGAAAGTTAAATTTAAATCTTGGCATTCTCAGAGATACCTGCAGCAATTCATGTTTCATTGCATATTCAAAATGTTAACTGGGTTAAACAAAACCATATAGCAAAATCTGAGTTTTCGCCCTTAAAAGCACCAGTTAAAACAAATTCTCAAAATAAATTTTAAGCAGAGCGATAAAATGAATGGACAAAACTTGGTTAGATTCTTGCAGGGTGTTAATAATATTAATGTAAGTATATGATACATCCAAAAGGTACTGGAAATGTAAACTCTGAAAATGCTATTTTCTGTGAAGTTTCTGAACCTTTTGTTCAGTGTGATGATGTATTGTTGTTACCCTCTAGGCTAGGTTAGGCTTTGTATTTAGCGCTACGTTTAAACTCTGCACAACATCTGCTCAGTAAGCATGTTAAATTTTAGAGTTGAGTAGATTTAGCATCAGAGAATTTCTGTAATTTCCTCAAAGCTTGCATAAGCGCACATTGTGTCTAAGTGCAGAAAGCCCTTTAATATTGTAAGAATCAGTTACAGCACAGTGATTAACCTAAATGTCGCTAACCATTATTTGTCGTTCTCAACATGAGTTTGTTACCTCTGAACCTGTGGGATGTGAGCATCATCTATCTGCTTTTTAAAAATAAATAGGGATGACCTTTGTTTGTCCGTGAATTCCTGAGGGTCATTTCTCAAGGACTGCACAGTCTCACTCACTGCTTTTGTTCTATTTGAATTAACATAATAAGGATAGTAAGAATGAAAACCATTCTACTTTTCTCTCTTTCATAGCTGTCTTTCCCAAACAATAGATATAAAATAAGATACAGATAACTGAATGAAATGACAGAATTTCAGAGTCTGCCTGTCTTTCAAACAAATTTAATTTTCAAAAGAAATCTGCTATAATATTAATACTTGAAGTTGCCAGAAACTCAGATTTGAAATGCATCAAGGAAAGTGCTAAAATTAAATCACACTCTGCTTCAAACAGTATTATGGACATTAGCTACCACAGCTGCTAAGTTTGCTAACATACTTGTTTTGACATTATTTATTTCTTATCTTTATGTGTGATTCTATGTTTCATCCTCTTTTTGCCCTATTTGATTCCTTTTAAGTTGGTTTCCGTATCTTGGGATGAGATTTTTCTCTCAGTGGCTGTGCCCCATCAGATTCTTCCCCTCCGTCACCCTGACATTCGCCCATTTTGGAGTGCTGACTTCTCAGAACTCAGTGAGTTTTGTGCACTGCTTTCATGCCAGTCTCTGAGCTGACACAAGAAGCTCTGACAAAATCAAAGGTCAACTTATTTTCTGTCTATCTCCATTCCGCATGTTCAGGGCTCTGGTAACTCAGTTTAATTGCATTAATTGCAGTGACTTGTATAGGCCATTGAATGATTTTCAGTTGTGCCCTGATTTGTTCACCTAAGACATAACTTTTGGAATAGTGGTGTAAGGCGGGAGACTGTAGCAGCAGGACCTCAGCGCCTGAGCGCCTGGCCGGAGAGTGGAGCGTGTGGAGTTCCTGTAGCCGAAGCTGCGGTTCTGGGATCAGCAGCCGGGAGCGCGAATGTCCTGGGTAAACTCAAAAAGTTCCTGGATTGGGGGAGGGCGTTTTTTTTTCTTCAATTTTCAAATGCATAGGTTTTACTCATAAAATACAATTTCCAGCAAATGAATCCCCTCAAAGCTATTCCTCTGTGGCAAACAGAAATTTCTCTCTACTTAAGTGTTTATGTAAATAGCTCCCTTTTAAGAGCCACACAAAAAACAACCCTTCCAAATGTAAATAGTGAAAGCTACAAAAGATTTCTTGACAAAGTCTAGTAAAATGGTGAGGTAAACTACACAAGGAGATGTGTGTAATGGAGTCCTCAAAGATCCACGGAGACTGTGGTTAAGAAAATGCCGGACATGGATTTCACATGTTAGTGCACCAAAAAGCCCTTAACTTTTAATTCTACTGTTCTACAAGATCGCTGAAGTCCCCTCCCACTTGAAAAATTAAGTAACCATTTATAACAACTGAGAGAAGAGCAGGAAAGTGCTAGGACTTTAGTAAAAGAAAGGAAGAGAAGTCAACATAGAGGTGGCAAAGTTCAGCCTAATGTGCAGCAAAACCATGGTAAGCGCCTTCCAGACAGGGTATCTTAGAAGATCAGCACGCCAACCCCACCATTCCTCGAAATCATCAAGGGAAAGCAGGAGAAAGTCTTTGCACCTTGTCTGCTGTAACACTTGGTGCTAAGCTCAGAGGCCCATTTCTGCCACAGGCAGTTTTTAAGAATTTGTAATGAACCTCTGTAAAAGCATCTTAATAGTTCTCAGAATCATACTTGTTCACGGGAATAATGAACTTCCAATTTTGACCCCAATTCTGCCCTTCAATCCTCTTTATCATTTTCATGAGTCCACGGTTTTCCTTTTATCTTGGAAGCTAAAGTGATCAAGGATTAGAAAAACGAGTATACTATTATTATGAGACATTTAATGCATTCAGCTTTCTAAAAGTGGATTTAACAAAGGGTTATTCACTATGAATGTCTTTAATTTTTTTTAAATGTGTGATTAACATAAAAAAGCAAGGATAAAATTGATTATTTGTACTGTCTTTTCTAGGCTAGGTTCTGAAGCAAGGGATTGTAATGGTCCCAGAAAACAATACAGAATATGTGAGAATCCACCTTGTCCTGCAGGTTTGCCTGGATTCAGAGACTGGCAATGTCAGGCCTATAGTGTTAGATATTCGTCCCCAAAGCATGTACTCCAGTGGCAAGCTGTCTTGGATGAAGGTATGACCCAAGAGCTCCCCATGGTTTTAATAGGGTTTCAAAGGTGATTTTACAATAGCTGCGTTTGCATGTTGTCTTCCAGCTGTTTCCAAATTTTAATTTTTTTCCACCTTCATTGACATATAACAACCACAAGAGCTAACTGAAATATTTTTTAAATGTATTAAGATCTCACTTGATCCCTCTTTTAAAAAATAATCTAGAAAAACAAGGAAACCACCTAAGGCTGGTAAACATGGGAAGAAGCAGGATTTATGGGAAGCAGCAGCATTTCAGACATTGCTGGTGGAAGTCTATGACAGTACCGCCACCTTGAAAAACAGCTGGGCATTTAAAAAAAATAATAATAAGCACATGCTTACCAAACAATATAGAAAGCACATTCCTGGCTGATAGAGTGCTATTCAGCAGTAAAATGCAGAAAATTACTAATAAAGTTATAACTAGATGGATCTTAGGGAATTATTTTGTACAAAAACACCAATCTCAAAAGGTCACATACTGTGTGACTGTATTTAAGTGACATTCATGAAATGACAAAATTATAGGGATAGAAAACAAATGAATACCTCCCAGGTGGTGAGAAGGGAGATGGGTATTACTATATGAAGGGGTAGCATGCATAGGACCTTTGTGTCAATGAAATAGCTCACTGTCTTAATTGTGGCAGTGATTACACAAAATCAAAATATGGCAAAATGGCACTGAACACATACCCAAATCAATTCCCTGCATTTCCTGTTATATTAGAATTACCAAGATACAGCAATTGGGGTACAAAAGTGAAAGATATATGAGACTTCTTTGTATGACTCTTGTAACTTGTTATAATTGATAATTATATCAAAATAGAATTTTTTTTAAAAAAACTTATGCTACATGTTAATTAAGAATGGTAATGCTTGCCTGTGGTGGATAGGGTGTGGTTTTGAGTTAGTGACGAGAAGTGGTGATGGATTCCTGGAACTCATGTGCCATTATGCTGCTGGTCTTTCACTGATCCCCTCAGTCAGGTTGGACTGTGCTTTCCGTTGTGGTAATAACATTAATGTCAATAAACTAAATTCTGTTGCTTCCCAGTTTTAGTGTTTTCACCTCTCAGTGGAAGTACCTCAGCAGGCAAACCATTCTCTTCTACAATGAGGAGAACGTACCATTCCAAAAAAATGGGAAAAGGGGGTGAACTGGAGCCATCAGATGATTGTCATCTTGCTGCTACCAGACACTAAAGCCTAGCTATACTGTTGGACTTCCCATCTGCTTCCCATTAGCCAGCATAATTTTAATTCCTTCCTTCCAAGGCCTATTCTTTCTACTGTGTCCTGGATGCCATTCCCAGTTTCCCCTTTAAGATATAATACTAAGATATTTATACTTCCTGTTCACTATTTACTCTTCTTTGTACTGAATTATTCACATTCAGTGTTTTCTTTAAACAAACAAACAAACAAACATATTTAGGACTCTCTAATTAAAATTCCCTTAAGCTCAAGGAGAAGTTGAGCAGCTAGGTTTATTCTCCCTATATCCTATCCCTAGCCGCCACTCTTCTCAGTGGTTTGCCTAAATTCCAACCTTATATTTCTATACTTCAGTCCGGATTTTACCAGAAAAATCTCCTTAATGTTATCAAGGGTTTCATGGACACTAAATTTAAGGAATGGTTTCCTGTCTTCTTAGTTGACTTTAAAACCATTGACAGTTCTTAAACCACTCATTTCTTTGGATTCTATAGCATGGCACCCACCTGGACTCCTTCCATGTCTTTGGCTTATTCTTTTATTCCAGATGTTACTCTGTTTTAGCTCCACATTTTCTTCTTAGGTGATTTCATCTATTTTCATGGCTCTCTAAATGTGTAAGTAATTCATGAATTGTGCCTTCAACCAAATTTTTCCTTTGAGCTCCCAACTTGTATATACAATGCCTGCCTGATATTCCTACTTAGATATTGACAAACTTAAGTGGTTTGACATTTATAACCATCCTCTTTCATTCATACCCACAGGATCTTTGTTAATTTTTCCTTTATCATAAAGATAACACCAATTTTTCAGTTGCATACACTTGATTGCATGCTCTATAAGGAAATGTTTGTGTTTTGCCTCCTGTAACATGTTTCTTTATTTTGGGAGCTTGGCATCAACTGGTTTCTTAACCATGATGCCCTTCTTCTTCAAGTGTCTTACCTCTCTTTCTCAATTTATTTGCCTTAAAATGAAATCTTAGACCTAATTTTCATCAGTTCTTTAAAAAGAAGAATCTCCCTGACTTTCCAAATTAGTTATATTCCCCTACCAGTTTTCCTGTAAGACGCCTGTAATGGCACATTCATTTAATGCATTCCTTCTAGTATCTGTTCCTACTGAACCATCTGGTAAATATTAACATTTTTAGTGAATATTTGTTTCATAAATTTGGATATAACATCAACGTTTCTGTTATAAGAACCAAGGGTTAATCTTGTATCTACTTCTAACATGTAAGATTTAATGCCTCCTGTGAAATTTGTATATTCTAGTGAAATAAGAGATAGAAATCAGATTTTCTACAGAATAAAGAAAATTCAGAATTATATTTGTGTCAATTTAAACACTGGCACTTTTGGAAAAAAGTTAAGAAAGCTGTAGACTGTTATATGGTGATGTTTATCATCAAAATTATCCTAAATAGCTTTTTGCATAGTCAACAGGTAATTCTGAATGTTTTACAACATGGATCGGTCAAGTCCATAAATCCCTCTAATGAATGAAATATACAACTAGCCTTCTTGCACAATTGCAATGTGCAATGTAGAAGGTTCAGAAATATACCTTATTTACTTGTGATGCACTTTCAAACGTCCACAACAGCTGGGACTATACCAGGTGGAAACTGAGAGCCAAGAAGTTAAACCAAGTTTTCCATGTGGGTGATAAGAAGCCAGTTACTTGAGCCACTGCTGCTTCTTCCTTGGGTTTGTATTAGGGAGTTAGAGTCAGGAGTCCCAAACTGAACATTGGACCCCAAAATCCCAGTACAGTCATGCATGCCTTTTCATGGACATCTTAACCAGTAGGGTCAATACTTGCTCCCTGCCACACACACACACACAGATTCTGTTTAAAGACTAGTGTCTTAAAACATATGACATCTTAGACCCTAAGTGACTATATCATTTGTTTTTATTCAATATGTAGATGTATTAATAGGGGAATTAAATTAAATGTAGTGAACATTTATTTTTAGAGAAAAGATATGCATGGCTTTAGCATTCAGGGATTTTGCACACCCTAGACATGCTGAAATCTGGCTGAAATCCATGTCTAATGCATATCTTGGAAACAGTTGATCTTTTAAATCAGTTCAGAGCCTGCCTGCCAAGTACTGGCATGTTACACGGATCACTGCAATGTCACAGTATTGAGGGTATACTACAGGAAGGAAGACTGGTAGCAAATTATTTTTGTCATTTATAAAGTTAAACTAAGCAGAAGGTATTGATGATTATAAAAGGAAAAATAAAAAGATTTTTATTTGAATGCTAGTTTGGAATGTGAATGGAACTTTTCAGGAGACAAACTCAACATTTTTTATATGTCTTGTTTGCTTCTCTCATTGAAAATTCCAGAAAGAGAAGCATATATGCCACTTTTAGAATGTTGCAATTATAGCAGCTGTTTCTAAGTCCAAAGATATGACATAGTAAGCAGTCATTGAATAAACATAACCTACTTTGAGGTATGAGAGCACACTGAAATGCTTTATTGCAGCTTATAATGGCATCTTAAAGGAAAATTTCAAAACCATGCACATGAAAGGCCATGTTCCAACTCCTGAAAACTCTTCAGAGCTGTATTCAGAAGCCACATGTGAAAACTGTTTGAAATGTTCAATTCTGAAGGCTCATTTAACTGTCTGTCTTCTCTTTGCAAAATGATATCCTGTTGCATGCCTCTGGCTGTCATTTGGTATTTATAGAATCCCATCAGCACACGTGGAACTTTACTGAAGACATAAGGGAAGAGCAGTGTCAGAGACTGTAAACTATTTTCCGTTCTATTTATATAAGCTTAATAAACAGCAAAGGACCCGACTGGTGTGAAGCCAGTAGGGTGGTATTGTAGCATGGAAACTGCTCTGAAGTTTTGGGTTTGGATAGTCATACTAGTGGTGTTACCGAATGCTACTATTCCTCAGTATGATGCTTTGAAATAGAAACAGTTCTTTCAAATATTGTGCTACTTTTTGACCTGAGATCAAACGATTTAACCTGAACCACCATACCCTACTGCTCACTGAGGCACTGAAGACGCCTGTCAATGGTGGAAGATTTCTTCACCTGAAGCAACAACTGTCACTCTAGCTGTCTTGGTTATTGCCATGCTTTCCAGGTTAGCAGCAAAGGCCAGGAGTCCATCAACAGGTGTTCTCATGGGAATCCCTGCATTTCTAATCATCCCAATAAGGGACAAACTTTAGATTGTCTCATTTCAGAGTGTCCCTATTTTCCCTTCAGTAATTTCATAATTATAAAATACTAAATACATAGGGTTAAAGATTTCAGTATTAGATCTTAAAAGGAAGACCTTAAGGGTGAATTCACAAAGTAAATATTAACCGGAGCTTACAGATATGTAGTGTTCTATGTATGTACTTAAGATAAAGAGATAGTCGTTCCATAAAGGATGATCAAAAATAGGGGTATGTAAAATATTTTTTCAGGTACAGTGATTGGTTTGTCTGTGGTAGAGGTTTTGCCCTAGAAAGTAATAACTGGAACATTTTGAAAATTGTAGCCATGTTTCTTAAGAAGGAGGCTAATTTACACTGGGCACGTAATTTTCCCCCAGTTATCTCATTTACTTCATACAAAAAAACCTTCTCATATGTTATTCATATTATATGAATAATAAAAATAATTCAGCAGTGAATTATTTTTTCTGTTACTCAGTAACCATTTTGAAAAATAAACCTTAGTCTGAAAGTGCTTATGGAGTAACTTTTTCCTCATCTCTTTTTATCCATTCTACATGTAGAAAAACCATGTGCCTTGTTTTGCTCTCCTGTGGGAAAAGAACAGCCTGTGCTGCTATCAGAAAAAGTGATGGATGGAACTTCTTGTGGCCATCAGGGACTGGATATCTGTGCAAATGGCAGATGCCAGGTGAGACATTCCAAAGGGAGCACTTGCAATTTGAGGAAGGATAGAGGGAACTTGGAGTTAGTTTCATAGTATTGTAGAAAGCTTTGAACTCAGAGTCAGAAAATCTGGGATATGTCCTAATTCCACTTCTATGAATAAATCGGATGAATTCTGAAACTCAACTTTTTGGTCTGCATGAAGGGACGTTTGAATTAGGTAATCCATAAAATCCATCAGTAGCTGAAAAAAAACCCCTCAGATTTTAATTACCTATTGTATCTATTACAGGTTTAACATTAGGATACTATGGGAATTTTATTTTAGAGCATTATAGACCACCACTTCCAGCACATCAGTTCTCCCATGGCTGTGTGAGACTGAGCCATGAAACAAAACCCATAAAGTCAATACTGTTACTCATGTTCAAGCATTGTAAACATAACTGGATCAGCTGATTTCAAATGTATATTTAACTCTTTTATACCAAATATTTTATTTACGTTTTTTACTCTTTTCATAAATAATTTCTACTTACATACATTAATGTATTCTTTTTCATCTCTCTTTGAAAAATAGAATTTCTAGCAAAGTGGACATGATGAACATAGTGCAAAAATAAAAAGCTAGAAATTAGAAGCTGGCAGTTGTAGCTGTGTCACTGTCTCAACTTGGCTTTCCTTGGAAGAGTCATAAGCAGAAATTTTAAGGAAAATTTCTGCATGATCAGTAGAATGTGGTTGAGGACAAAGAACTACAATTGTGGAGAAAGAGAAGTGAGGCTTCCATGCTGGCCCAACACTGTAACCGGCCTTCTGTGGAGCTCTTTAAATTCAGACAGCATTGCAGAGTTGTCAGCATTTGGATTAGAAAGCCCGACCTTTTACAAACCCAGCATCTGTGGTATTAGAATGCAAGCCACCATAGGACGGGGCCATGACTTCAGGTAGCTGTTATGATTAGGGTAAGCTGGTTTTGATCAACTCCATGGAGTTGGAGAGAAAAACATCCTTTAGCAAAGAGAGAGGTAGTTGAATAGAACGACATTCAATTTGTGACAGCCATGGTGAGACTGTGTTCATGGGTAAATTATTTAAAAGATATTTGTAAGCATTAACTACAACCGGTAAAATGAAGTTGCTAAACCAACAATTATAATGGCTTTTTTGCTCTACAGCCCTTTTGAGATTTTGCTAAACACACACACACACACACAAGAATCTGACAACAATTGTAAGCTATACAGAGATCAAAGTGTGATCTCATAGGGGTATATAGATGTCTTGATAGAAGTTGGGAACAACATGGCACTTAAAGGCTTTCCCAGCTCTAAATTTCCAGACTGTGCCAACATGCTATAATGTTTAAACTATCAAATCATGTAATACCATTGGCCTAAGAAGTAGTCCTATGTTTACATATTAATTTCCTTTATTCTTTCACAGAATATGACATGCATTTTTTCCATCTACAGGTAAAAAATCATTATACATACTTTACCTATGCATATTTCAGGATATTCTATTGTACAATTAAAGCTTTTAGCTTTATTTCATCATATATTGCTGTATTTCTTTTTATGTTTCACAAAATTCCTTTCCTAGATTTATATGCCAAATATAATAGCCTCAATTGCTTTGCTTTTCACTTAACAGTGTTGTGTAAGCCAGGTCTTTTACAGAGTCCCTGGCTAGATATTAAAATTATAGCAACACCAACAAAATTCTGCAGAAATGCTTTATGAACTTGATGATTGCAGTTAAATAAGAATTCTTTGAAATGGATTGTGACTTCACATGGCATTAGAGTACTTTAGGATTCTGGATTATTAATAAAAATGTTTCATTCAGTCTTTCAATATAATTGAAAACATGCCTCATTTCTCTCTGTGACCTTTTTTTAATTTGGGTGTTTTCAACTTGAACTTTTTTTCTTATCACAAAATATGTAACACCTAATATAGGATGCTAAACTTGATGCGTGGAGGGCATTGAAAACAAACAGCTTTCTGTTGATGCCTCAGTTTGGTTTGTGAAGCTTCTGTTACTAATAACGATAAGGAAGACTCAACCTCCTACTCTCACGTTGCTGCCCCATCTCCAGTGACACTTCAGTGCCTACAACCAGTAAAATAATCCCGCCTGTTCAGCTTTTTCATGTTCTGTGTGGATCCATTGATCCATGTGGACACATGAAGCTACCAATTATAATTTCTTAATTGCTTATTTTTTAAAATATATGGTTATTGAACTGTGGTATTATTTGTATCCTGAACTTTTACCTTAGGCTAATACGCCTTTTAGTTTCCTAGTTGCAGGATTTAAAGGGAAAAAAAAAAAAACTCCTACATACACTCTATCCAAGTATTTAACTATTGTTTATTGTTCTCTTACTGTTTGCCTGGAAAGAGACTAGATGAGAGAGAGAGAGAGAGAGAGAGAAACAACAGAGGCATTTCCATCATTTCAAAGTGACTCTGATTTCTACTTCATTTTTTTTTCATTTGTTCATAAAGGATCAACTTTTTTCCCCTCAATCCAGGACTCCCAGTTCTTTCTGTGGCTCCTGCTTAGGGCCCCCTTCCCGTTTCTGTTGTTATTTCTCCCTGGATAAGCTCTGGCCTGCTGATAGGGGCTTTCCACCTGTTTACACCTTCAGCCCTAACCCAATCCAACCACAGGGTAGAATGGATGCTGTATTTTGCTGATTTTATATGCATTTTTACTTTCTGAGGATATCTCATTCCTGCAGCTGGATCTTACAATACACTCACTCCCTCTACCATAACACTACTGATACCAACTACAGACACTTATTTTTCTGTTTTATTATTTGTTCATTTTCTCTAATATAACTTGAACATGTTGTGAATGGATTATCCTCAGTCTCCCTTCCGAACCCTTCTTGATGAAGAGGGATTGTGCAATCCACCCAGTTTTATTCTAATAATATTTGCTGACTGAAGTCTGCCTTTGAGGATATACAATATTGAGAAATAGAATATTATGTTCAAATGCCAATAAGCATCATTCACTAGGAGTGTCAAATGGTTTGTTCTCAGAAGAGTCTTGTTAACAGAATTATCTTAGGTGACTAGAAAACTTAATTTCCAAACCTCTTCTGTTTCTTCATGGTAACCATGTATTATAAGGGACTCTTACATTCATGGAATTGATGCTGAAGAAGATGAAAATAGAAGTTTATTTAAGAGTTGGAAAATCAATGTTTATATTAATTCATCCAAAAAACATTTCATATTTAGCATTAGCTTTACAATCTCTTTAGAAGTGAAACTATCTATAGTGAAGAGCATTTGTGTTATGTTGGGAGCAATGTATTAGATCAATGATGTTATGTGGAATAGAAATGTGGTTTCCTTAGGAATTCATGTAAATTATATTTTATTTAATTTCTTTAAAAAAACTTTAGGATGGAGAAATACTGTCATCTCTGTCACACAGTTTCATCGCATTACATATTTTATTACTTGACATTAGCTTTCTTTGTTACTTTGTAACTAACAAGGTGATATTTTCCTAATTTGTGTCTGAAAAAAGTGTGTGATTTCTAGAGACTTCATGATAAAACAATAGAAGCAACAATAAGTTTGTGATGCATTTTCATTCTCTTATTACAGAGAGTTGGCTGTGATGGTTTATTAGGGTCTCTGGCAAGGGAAGATCATTGTGGTATATGCAATGGCAATGGAAAATCCTGCAAGATTATTAAAGGAGACTTTAATCACACCAGAGGAGCAGGTAACACTTTTATTATAATTAATGCTCCCTACTAAAGACAGAGAGTACGTCAAACTTGACTTAGCAATCATAATACTGATTCTATGAAAGACTCTTAATGGATAAAGAATGAGTTTTTCATGAGGACCTACAATATATATGATATGAGCCAGAAATCCTAACAAGCCCATTTACCACTAATGAAAACATGAAGTCATCTGTTGTGCATTTAATAAGTTAGAACAACAAGGGAGTAATCTAATTTGAATTGGCAAATGTTACAAGATTTTTACAGACCTTATTATCCCATGCAAAGCATGACAGCTATTAGAAAGCAGTGATATGTAGCATCTTGAATCAAGCATTGAGCATGTTAGTTTTTGGTTTTTTAGCTTTCCGTATTCTTTTTTTTACGTTTTTACTTCATTTGAAGAGGATACATTATTGGAAACAGGATCCACTGTATCAGAGCAGAGAGAGAAGCACAGCATAAGGGAGGCAGAGAATGCATGTTGTTCTCACTGTGTTCAAGAGAGGAATGGTTCTGTCTGCAGTTGTTGCCGCATATGTACATATTCATATGAGTATGAAATGACAAGGTGATCCACTATAAAAAGCAACTTTTCTATGTTGAAATATAATGCACGAATATGCTGTATACACAGAAAATTCTTTATGACAATGTACTCAAGCTTACTTGGAAGAACACACTTTTCTGCTACTTGTACATACACAAATGTGGTGTCACAAATTATGACTTTTTTCATCATCATCAATATATCTACATTGCATATCTCGAATATTTCCTGCTTTGAATTCCTTTCTTATTCCAAAGTAATAGCAAAAAAAAAAAAACCCAACAAGACTAAAATGTGAATTAATTTAAACACACAAAAATAAGTCATTTGTGTTTGTAAGGAAGAAAACTGAGTTCAGTTTCAGAAAAGGAGATACAGCTTTCTAAAGATCAATGTAACCGTTCGGTAGCTCCAACTAGAGTAAGAGATAAGTAAGCCTGAAGATAGGAAGCCTGAAAATAACCAAGTACCAGGGTAAATTCAGATCAAATTCTCAGTCTCTGAAGCCGTGAAAAAGTTTCAGATAGGTCCCACACATCCAAGTCAGCCAACACTCACTTGGAAAAGAAGTATTGAGTTGGCACAAGCTCTTAGACTTTCCACTACACAATGTAATTACAGTAAGCTCTTCTGCCTGATTGTGATGAGAAATTTTCACAGTGCAGGAACTCAAATAAAATCTGAAAGATTGAAGGTAGTTAAAGACACTAGAGTTTTGAAAGCTATTCTTGCACAGTTATTTAATATGCATGGGAAAAGTTTTATGCAGAAATTCTGATACACATTATGCATGGATATGTTTATTTCATTTTAATAAGACTTCCTTTTCCCACTATCCAGTGAAAATTAAAACATCATAGTGTTATTAAATGAAAAATAGAAAAGCCATTTTAAAAAAAACCTAGTGATGCTTTTCATTCTAATTGCGGTGATGTGAAATTATCTTCCCTCAGGTATCTGCTTCCCACTCTCTTTTGTTGTTATTTCACTATAATTTTTATATCTACCTATTGGTTTATTTAGACAACAGCATTTCTCATTGGGAAACTGTTCAGGTTAATAAAATATTACGACTATCATAGATAAGTAATGCCACCTTCTTTTTTACAACTCTGCAAGGTTTACATTCTTCACAGGGCATTCTCACAACAGACACAAAGTTGCCTGTCTCTATTTGTCTCTCCCCCCTCTCATCTCATACCAGAGTCCCTTCCTTCTTGAAGCTGCAGCTACCCCAGTTCTTGCAGACCCTCAAAACTGACCAAGATATTCAGACACCTCCCATTTGCAAATGTTTATTTCCGTGTGTACTGCCTGGTGAGTTTTGGACAGTAGTTATACCCCAGCTCATAGATGACTTTTTCGATAAGGTGATCTTGGGAGCACCCTCCCAGTTTCCATCCTCCTGACTCTGTTAGCCACTTCACCATATTTTTTTTTAACTATACAGAATAACTCACCACATTTTAATTTTGTGTTCCTTTGTGTTTTCTTCTCTTCCAGACTGTAAACTCAGTAAGGAAAAAAAATTTTTTTAAGTTTTCTAAATCTCATATGAATGTTAATTATATCAAAGGTTCCATCTACTTGTAACTGAAGGAACATTGTTTTCATTTCTCTACAGAAAAGTTAATCCCTGTAGTTTATGAACTTCCTAGAATTTGAAGGACTTGTACATTATGTAGTCCTGTTGGCCATACACACTGGATACATTTGTAACACATGTGCACAGATGTGTGGGTGGGCTTAGTCCCTGACCTTTCTTTAAAGTTTCCATGATCATTATTGTTGGAGCTAGAAACTAAACTCAGGAAGACAGATTTCTTTATACATTTATCATGTAATAAATTAGAAAATAAAAGTCAGGGATGATTTATCATATGTTTCACTATGGCTTTGGATACCCAAGTGATAATTTTTAAGGAATAAAACGTAAATTGTATATTTGTCCAATTGTGTGTGGAGCTATACAATTATCAAGACACATGGAATAAAATCGATATAGAAAGAGGAGGTGCTTTTGCATTTTTAAGGTTTTTTTTTTTCTTTTTAATTCAGAGAGTAGGTGGGAGAAGGAGAAAGAGATTCAGAAGCAGGTCTTCCATCTTCAGGCTCACTCCCCAAGGGCTGATTCCAGCCAGGGCTAGACAAGTCTGAAGGCAAAAGCTGAGAAACACACGCAGCAGGGACCAAGGTGCCTGAGCCTCCCCCTCTGCTTCCCATGCACTGGCAGGAATCTGGAATCCAAAGTAGAGCTTAATAGCCCATGTTCAATCTTAACTGCTGCACCAAATGTCTGCCCACCATTTTAAAATAACGTCTTTTATATTTCGATTTATTTGAAAGGGAGAGACTGAATGTTAGAAAGCAAGTGAGTGAGACCACAAAAGACAAGATACGGTTAGAGTTTCCTTCAGTTTGGCTGTTTCCTTCAGCAATGCAATGTCAGGGCTTCCTTTATACTGTTTTATGAAAGAATAGTCATCGATCATACCAGGAAGTAAATAGTATAGTCAGATCTGAGTTCAAAGCTTGGTTCAGCAAATTATTGATGATGCAATATTAGAGAGCATTGAAAACCATATATTTTCCTTTTATTTTTGAATTTATTCATATGAAATATACTATCTTTAGGGATTCTATCATTACAGTTCAATGTAGTAATTTTTGTGAAGCAATTATACTGGTGACTTGCTATCACGTTTAAATATGGCAGTTAATTCATTATTACTGTATGAAGATAATGGTTGCTATTGGCTTTTTAAGATGTATGAATCAAACCTTAGAAACTTTGACTCTGCAAAGCAAAAACACAACGAGGTGAAGAGGCAACAGATAGAATGGGAGAAAATATTTGCAAACTGTGTAACTGATAAAGGAATAACAACCAGACTCCATAAGAGGTTCAAGAAACTCAGCAACAGAATCAACAGTCCAGTTAGAAACTGATTAAAGAATAAAATACAAATAGCCAACAGACACATGAAAAACACTCAGAATCACCAACCATCAGGGAAATGCAAATAAAAACCACAATAAGGCTTCACCTCACCACAGCTGGAATGGCTATCATCCAAATCTTAAGAAATAATAATAATAATAGATTCTGATAAGAATGTGAGAGAAAGAGAACCTAATACACTGTTGGTGGCTGTAAACTAGTGGAAGCATGATGGAGGACAATGTGGAGATCCCTGAGAAACCAAAAAAGTCCATCTACCATTTGACCCAGCCAGCTTACACCTGGGAATTTACCTAGGGGAAATGAAGTCATTACATGAAATAGTTGGTTTTACCCACCCCCATGTTCACAATAGCTAAAGTATGTAATGCACCCAGATTTCATCAACTGATTACTGGATAATGATTTCATGGTATATGTATACCATGGAGTATTGACAATACTCCATAAAAAAATGAAATTTTGCCTTTTGCCACAAAATGAATGCAACTGGAGACCATTACTGAAATAGTTCTTGCAAGAAAAAAAAAAAAGAAGAAGGAAGATGGGAAGTTGGGGGAAGGAAGAGAAGTGTGATTCTCATGCTAGAATTGTACTTGTGAAATACATGAAATTTGTTCTCTTTATATTAGTAAACATTTTAAAAGGAGAATGAAACCTTTGGCTTTACATGTGGTGTTACTGAGCACGAAGCAGAATGTCCAACTCTTTACTGAAACAATGGTCCCGCTTCTAAACGAGGCAATACATTGAGTTTGCTTCTTTAAAAGGTGTACATGCTCAATATTGCCACATCACCTGTTTTCTAAAACATATTTTACCACCACTGAATTTCCTCATATGCAATTTTTTAGTGTTTTTTCTTTTTGGTATCAATATGAGTATAAACTCAGATATAATTGTTATTCTAAGGCACAATTAGCTGTTTAGTCCTACACTCAGGAAATTTTTACACAGTATTTCTGCTTCGTTCTCTCCATTCCATTTTTTTTTTTAACCACAGTAAAGTTGATCATCTTCTCCTCCATTGGTTTCCTAAGTCTTTGGCAAGAGCCCAGATTATAAGATCAGTAGACTCTTCTCTGTCGTCTCTCCTTTGACACCTCGTCAGCCTTGGCAGAGTTGGCCAGTAACTCTTCTAGAGACCCTCATCCGTGGGTCTGTTTCATTTTTCAAAAGACCAGATTCCATTCTTCCCTTGCTGGCTTCTTCTGTCTTGTTTCTTGATATTTTCTATCTGTTTTCCTAAAAATCGTGATCTTGACCAGGTGAAGTTCTAGACTTCCTTTTGCTCTCAGTTTTCTCCTCTGACTCCCTTGGCTTACATTGCTGCTTCTTCAGATATCTCTGATAATATATCGGTAGCCTGAACTTTCCCTGGAAATCAGCGTGTTCTAGAGCTCGTACTGGGTGTCTTTATGGTTTAGTTAAATTTGGATTACCAAGGTGAACTGGTCAAATTATGAGCAAAACTAGACACTAGATAATTTCTTTCTTCAATTCTGCAAATTAGGGTCCTATTCTTACATGGGAAAATGATATTAAAAGATAAGTTTATTATAGGACAAAAAAAAAAATGAAATCCATGCAGGGGGTTTCTCTGTAACATGCATTTCTGTATAGTTTCCAAAGTATCCAAAGAAGCCACACTGAATAAAGTGCTTTCTATCAGGTACCAAATTCAGAATCTTTTTTCAAAGTATTTTTGAATTTTCTATCTTAGCCTCTACCAGACCTAAATTTCAGCATTAGACTCCTGACACCATTTTCCATAAGTATATCCCAGCATATCGCTGTTATAAAAAGCCATGCCAAGGCAGGATCTAATTACCAGCTTCCTTACTATGGAATGTTCAGTAGCTAAAATTGATGAATTCATTGCCCTGGGCACACATTCAAACTCTTAATAGAGCCATGCTGTTACATAGTCTCATTCCGTCAGAATTACTTTATTCAAGTGCTGCTAAAACACCTTTTATCCCATACTCTTCTTTATGAAAAGTGAACTCAGCTTTGTTCTACATCTGTCTGAATCCTTCTCCAGACAACTCGTTTTTTGCTTTGTTGAGAACTTTCCTTGACTTACATAAAATGTTCTTTCTTCTGAATTGTAGTTATTCTGGCTCATGTAAGCATTTTAAAAATTGTAAACATTATACCTATTTAAAAAATCTACCTTTGGATGTTTGGATGGTGATGTGCTCAGAGAAGGGCAAGGGCGCTTGAGCAACTCCTGTTTATATTCTTTAGCAGAAACTGACCACGTTATTTTGTATAGCATCTTTTCGTAAGTTTTGTAAGTTTTGTCTAACTCATATTTGTAAAACTTACCCATCTCTTAGCTTTACAATTCTCTTTGAGGGCAGAGACCATCTTGCTAGCTATATACCCTGATGCTGTGGCTTTGCACTTCCTGTCCCCAGCTCCAGTTTCAACTCTTTGTTAATCTGTACCTGGAGTGCTGGGTCTCATGTTCTGTTAGTAACTTCATGGCTAGTCAGGACAATTTTATTTGTTCCAGCTGAGGTTTCTTGTTCCCCACACTTTTTAACTTTATGAATTCCCAGAGCAAAATCTGAGCTTGCTTGCTGTATTGTGGGATCTATTGTGTTTGAAATTAGGTTATCCTGTTGGGCTTTTCTTTAGTCAAAATTCACAAGGCACTAATGAAGTTTTTTTTGCATTAAAAAAAAAGTGCTTGCTTGTCATCAGGAATGCTGTAGAAACAATATCTTTTCAAGAAACTATTTCCCAAAAATCATAATGTGTTTACATGTTGAGTTTTATTTTACAAAGGTATTGGAATATTAAGCCATCACCAAATTTTAGAAAACAATTCATTAATTTAAAGAAAGGATATTATAAAAAGGCATTATAAAAAGGCTTAATTTATTTTATGTGTTGTTGCCTCCTGCAGGTTACGTGGAGGTGCTGGTGATCCCTGCTGGAGCAAGGAGGATCAAAGTCGTTGAAGAAAAGCCAGGACACAGCTACTTAGGTAACCCGTGTGACTGACACAGAGGGGCCAAGTACAAGCCTGGGACCCTGTCTTGAGCATTCTGTGTAGATGAGGAAGTCAGCCCATTGCTGGCTCCATGTCTCAACTTCCCAGGGAGCAGTCTGGTCGTTTCAAGTTGGAATTTCTTTCCCATGAGCAAAAGCGATGAGGTTGTCTTGTGTTTTGGGAGGGTATACATTGCTTCCACATATTAGTCTATTAAAACCCACAGAATGATTTGTGATATTTTATTTCTTAGATGGGCACACATTTCATGAACTTATATATTTATGTATCCTATACATGCATGCAGATATACATGCCTAGTAATTCCATGTATAAATGATTGTATGGTATTTCTATAGTGAATGATTTAGAATTAGGAAATGCTGTGGGATTTTAAAAACTCCATATTGAAACAGAAGTATTTGCTTTACTTCAGGAAAATTCACCTATAAAAACAGTAATCTCAAACACTTAAATGTAGCTTTAGGACATATCAGCTACTTTACTATTTTAACTAAATTGACTAATGAATTGTAAAAATGAAAAAGAAAATACTAGGTTGTTCAAGGTATTACATTGCAGTATTATGAAGTCATTAATATTTTATAGTGTTGGCAGGTATAGATAGATGAACAATTTAAGAAGAAGACTGGTCTCCCAGTTTTTAAGTATTGTTTTTATACTATCTTTCTTTCCAAAAAGTCCACAATTTAAAAAAAATTTTCTTAGCAAAAATAATGTCCTTACTTTTCTTCCTTAAGTGAATAATAATATCCCAGTGTGGAAGCCCTGTGAACATGAAAAACAATTCACTGGACAGAACTGTTTGAACTGCACACCATCAAAAGTAATTTACATTCAGACTGAACTGTTTTTCACAAAAGATTTGCTGTGTATTAGGTAGGAAAATTTAGGGGACGAGGACAATAAAGGAAACAATTTGCCATGTAATCTATTCATCCATTCATTGCCAATGAGTAAAATGTAAACTTTTTAACCTATTTTGTAGGCTTTTAAAATACTTTTCAAAAGTAAGTAGAATATTACAGACTTGCTAATTCAGATTTAAGCCAGTTTTTGAAGATACTGGGCATTTGATGATCTCAGTACATGGTATTTCTAAGCAGATACGACTGTTGTTTTCCAAGCTGAAAAGGATAAATGTCTCTAACAGAATTTTACAATTCTATAAAATTCTAGATTGCTCTGTGAGTTTTAGTAACCTGAAAACTGTGGCTAAATAAATCATGTAGAGTTGCAAATGAAACATCTTCATGCTGCTCCAAATTTCTCACCTCCTAGTCCCTTCAACCAAATCATCCTTCACGTCTCCCTCTGACAGCTGCCCTTTCCGGTCAGCAGAAGCCTTCTATGCTGACAAATCCAGAAGTCACATGTTGCTTGACATTAACCAGTGTTGAAAACTATGGACCCTTAGCTGAACTGACCTTTTTCTCCTTCTGAGCTCCCCTTCCTCATCAGATGGTCTCTTTGATTTCTTCCTCAAGGTCTTCCTGTTCCCTAAACTCAGGCTTGGGCCCTGCTCTTTCCTCTGCTATTCTGTCTCCCTAGCACATCACCCCTAAAACCTTGTAGGAGGTTCTCAGAATCTGTTCAGAAACAAGTGTCAAAGTCAAAAATCCCAGTCAAAACTGTGATCTTCACTCTGTGCTGAAATGCTATTTCTTCCTTTCATTTTCCCCTGAATGGTTAGTGTCACTGCTTTATGCCTGATGGGAGATCATTTTTATTTCTGGAACACAGACTATCATATTTCCTCTGTCATTTCTGATTTTAGTAATTCAAGTGTTGCCATTTTTTTTTCATTTTGCTAGAAGATTGCCAACACTGCTGATCTATTCAAAGAATCATCTTTGGTTTTAATTTATTTTACTCTCTATTTCATTTATCTCTGCTCTAATCTTGATTATGTCCTTGTTTTTGCTAGTTTGGGGTTTGCATTCTTCTTAGTTTTCTAGTTTCTTAAATATACAATTTAATTATTGATTTTAAATCATTCTTATTTTTAAATGTGTGTACAGGTGTAAATTTCCCATTAACGCTTCTATTTTGCTTCACAAAGTTTTCACTTTTACTTGTTAAGATATTTTCTGGGGCTGGTCTTGTTTCACAGTGGGTTAAGTTGTTGCTGCAATGCGGGTGATCCAGAGGGACTCACTCTGAGTTTCAGCTGTGCAGCTTCTAGGCCAGCTTCCTGTTAATGCTCTTCGAAAGACAGCAGATGTGTTTCAAATGCGTGGGCCTTTATCGCCTATGGGAGACCCAGGAGGAGTTTTGGACTCTTGATTTTGACTTGGCCTAGCCTTGGCCATTGTAGCCACTTGTGGAGTGAATCAGCAGACAGATCTCTTTGTGTTTGGAAAGTCAGATATGAATGTATGTGTGTGTGTGTGTGTGTGTGTGTGTGTATGTGTGTGGATACATATATATCGAGAGAGATCTATCTACTGGTTCACCTCTCAAATAGCCACAACTGCCAGGGCAGGACCAGGCTGAAGCCAGGAGCCGAGAGTCTTCTGAGTCTCCCATAGGGTTGCAAGTGCACCTTGGGCCATCTTCTGCTGCTTTTTGAGGCACATTAGCTTTGGTCTTGATCAGAAATGGAGCAGCTGAGACTCAAATCGATACCTAAGTGGGACGCTGGTGTCTCTGGTGGCAGTTTGACCTGCTTTACCACATTGCAGGTCCCATAAGTACATAAATCTTTGAACAAACGAAAAAGATATTTTTTGATTTCTATTTTTCTTGGATCCATTGCTTATTTAAGAGGGTGTTATTAAGTGTCTACAAACTTGTGAATTTTCCAGCTTTCCTTCTGTTACTGATTTCTGACAGCATTCCACTGTAGTTGGTGAAGACACTCTGTATGGTATGTATGTTCTAGGAAAAGTGAATATTAAGGGAGCATCAACCTATCATAGTCACTAATTTCTACCCAGTCCAGTATTTTAAAAATAGGAGTCTTCCTTGATTTCTCACTTTCTTTATTGCTTCAATATCTCCTTATCAAACCTTATCAGTTATTTAAACCTATCATTTTCTTTCCATACACAATTACCTCCAACCAAGCCATTCCATATTATGATATTTTCCTTTATTTCCTTTACAGCACTTATTACTGCCTGAATTTCTTAATTTACACACTCGCCTTAACAAATTATATATGTATAGTACAGATGGGTTTGAAAGAAAGAACAAGAGAGAGGCAGAGAAGGAGAGAGAGAGAAAATCTTCCATCCACTGGCTCTTTCCACAAGTTTCCATAATAGCCAATGGAAACCAGAATCCTGGAATGTCAACCGTGTCTCCCACATGGATGGCAGGGGCTCGAGTACGTAAGACACCATCAGGTGCTTTCCTAGGGGCATTTGCAGGGTTCTGAACTGGAAGCAAAGCAGCTGGGACTCAAACAGCTGTTCTCATATAGGATGCCGGAGTCACAATGGTGGATTAACCCACCATGTTACAATGCTGATCCCAGTATGTGAGATCATAGGCACCAAACAATGGTCTTTATTTTTTTCCTTGACTTTCCACATAACAATTGTTATTTAAAAGCACTCGTCAGACCCAGCGCGATAGTGTAGTGGTTAGAACACACCAGGATCCCATCCCAGCAGCCCTACTTCCCACTCAGTTCCCTGCTTGTGGCCTGGGAAAGCAGTCAAGGACGGCCCAAAGCCATGGGACCCTGCACCTATGTGGGAGACCTGGAAGAGCTCCTGGCTCCTGACTTCAGATTTGCTCAGCTCCAGCCCTGGCAGCCACTTGGGGAGTGAACCATTGGAGGGAAGATCTTCCTCTCTGTCTCCTTCCTCTCTGTATATCCGCCTTTCCAATAAAAAAAAAAAATCTTTAAAAAAAATAAGTACTTGTCATATGTGAACACGTTTTCCTTGAACTTTCCTACATTACCCTTTTTGCCGTTTACTTTTTCGGACCAATATAGTCGATTTATTGAATATAAGAAATTCAAGAAGGTACAACAGTGACTACTTTCTCTTCTATCACTGATTCGGCCAAATCCCCTATTCCTTGCCTATTTGTTTTTATATATTATTATCATTAAGATACCAGTCAAAGTGTCATTTGAATTATATATCTTTCCGAAGTGTCTGACCTTAATCAGTTCTCCCTAAGCTTACCTTTAGGCCCAAGTAATCAGTCTGTGCTCTAAACAGCCTACGTACTTTAAAAAAACCTGAAGTTTCAGTGTTAAAAATACTAATGTAACTTTGTTTATTCAAGATTTCACTAAATTTCCATACTTGCTTAACTAGGCAATAGTAATTATGCTGATGAATCAGTGAAAGTGTGCAAGAATGGACAAGAAAAGGCCAGTTGCATAAACCAATCGAGGATAGCAGTGGCTTCCAGCGACGTTAGAGAAGTTGAGCTGATGGAACTTGTTGGGAAATGGATCTAAGTGTTGACAGGGGATCAGGGGTCAAGGATGATTTCTGGGTTTCTGGGAGGTTACAGTGTCATTCACCATTTTGTGAACAAGGAGCAAATTTTGGGGGAAGAAAAGATACAATACAGTATCGACATTCTAGATTTCAAGCCTAAAGGCCTGGTAAATGGATAACACCATAAATCATACTTTCTGAAGGCTCCTTTGGGCATAAGAAGGAAGTTGTTGGAAATCTTCAGATGAAATAGCTTTAGCAAAATGGAAAGAAAATAGAACCTTGGCAAACTGACCATTCTTAAACAAATTAACTTGTCTACACCAAGTTACATATTATGGGAGACATTTAATTCCATGTCCCTCCTCCTCTCCTCCTCCCCCCCACTCACACATGTTTATTCTTTTTCATTACTCTATCTTTGGACAGTACCAAGGTACTTCAAAAAGTTCATGGAAAGGTAGAATGAAGAAAAATTTTGTTTCAGTGCAAAAATATTGAAATCCATGCACATTTTAAAATAAAACTTATTTCTCATGAGCTTTTCTAAAGAACCCTTCTGTGCATGGATTTCAAACATTTTCACATCAAAATAAGTTTACGTTTTAATTCCATTTTCTAAGACTACTTTGACATTTCCTCATAGTTTATGTTCAGTTATTACTCTTCTTTCAAATATCTTTGGCATGATCATTTTGTTGGTAATTTATTTTTAGAAAGCCTAAAATAAAGAGCATTTTAGATTAGACATGCATGATACATATGTATTTATATGCTTATATATATATGCTTTGTATAAATATATAAAATCTATTAACTTACTTCATAAAAATAATAATAATACAATCTATTAACTTACTTGAATGGCAGTGTCACAGGGAGAGGGTGAAGGATTTTTAATCTGCTGGTTCACTCCTCTGATGGCCACAGCAGCCATAGCTAGGCATAAGCAGGGACCTAGAAATGCCATTGTGGTTTTCCACGTGGACAGCAGGAACCTAAGTGCTCGAACCTTCATTTAGCACTTACTAGAAAGCTGGCAAAGCGTTTGACACTTCCTTCGGTTCAGGAGATTAAAGCCATCACAGTGTTCTCTCAATTTCACTCTTTAAATACATCTTAATCTTTTTCTCCAGCACTTTGCTCCAATGCCACTATTACTTTCAGTGAGGTTATTGTCTTCGTGTTCTATTACATCTTCTGTACACATTCACCCCATACCGAACCATGTTTCATGTAATACTTTCCAAAATCAAAATACGAAAAGTATACGGGGATGGAAATTCTTGCTACACCTAGAAGGCCTTGACCACTTGGCTGTTCCCTATCTGCTCTAGCATGTTTGGGTCTGCATCCTGCTCAAGTTGCATTAAGCATTAGGGCCCTTTTGTTTGGTGTTCCCCTAGTCTTGGAAGCTCTTGCTCTGCTTCCCTTTTTTCCCATAATGAATTTACTCAGTAAACAATATGCTGCAGACAAGCTTTTTTGTTTTTTTACCTCCGTTCACCCAAGTGTCAGCATGTAATAATTGACTAGTTACTCATACAACTTATTTAGTATCTGGTTTTCCAGGTGGATTATAAATTCCATGAGGCCAAACATATTCACTCAGGGAGTTCCAGAACTTTGAATACTGTCTGCGTTATGACTAGTTCAGGATAAGGAATTACTCAACCACAAGTAAATGTTACCTAAGGGAGATGATTTCTAAGAAGGTATTCAGAAATAGGCACTTGCCAGCGTTGTCCTCATCTGGCTTGAGAACTTGTACACATGAATTGAAACAACCTTTATTAGAATTAGTTTGAAAATGTTTTTCAAAATATCTAAATATTTAGTTTCTTTGCCTTTATCCAAAGTGAAAATTTACATTTTCACATAACTAGGTTATTTATGTAAGCATAATTTTTAATGTAGAAAATTAGAATTCCTCAAAGTCAATAAATGGAAATTAACCTGAATAGTAATTAGCACTATTTATCAGATTAAGTTATTAAAATATTTTCATATTCTTTTTAAGTCTTCAGTAAATTTCCATGTGCATTTCTTTTGAGCAAGACAATAAAATCATATGGAAAATTCTATAAATATAAATAAAAATTAAAACGATCTGGGTAAAAATAGGAATGAATTTCTAATTTGGAATGGTAATCCATGTCATGAATTGTGACTAAATAGTAACAGAGATCAGATGAATCTAATGGAGAGAAAAATTATGCAAAATAATTCTGTAAAATCCCACACAAAAAATATCTATTTCTAGGAGAAAAGCTGCAATTTATCTTCCATTCTTGCTCAAATAAAATCACCATCTGGAAATATTAAAAGGCTCTAAGTCTGTTTTTAAAACCAACATTATCTCTAAATTGTTTCTTTACCTGTACATTTGCTATTTTTATGTATGTTAATTAACATACTGATGAATTCTCTTTCTTAAGTCCCACATTTTCCTAGAAGGCCATAGAAGACATAGGGCATATGTATGATGTGGTATTAGCCTTCTCTGTGTTTGTAGGGTCACTGGGTACAAAAGACACATACATAGAATCCTGACATAGTAATATTCTAAAAAACAAATGACTAAGCACCCTAGCTTCTGCTGTCTCCCACCACACCTCCAGGTTTTCAGACATCAAGTGTCCTAGGAAGTGTCCTAGGAAGTTAGGAGAGGTAAAAGTAAATGCATACATGTGACTGTGACTGTTGGGCTGTGGTCAGCTTCTGGAAGGAAGGACTGCCTGGATACTGTGCTGTCATTGAGAACATTTCCCAACACCTCTTGGTTCACTTCTGATTGTGTGTTGCTCCACTGGCTTTAGAAATCAATGGATTCTTTGAATGAAGCAATGCTATGTGGATATTGAACAGTGATGCTGACTGGTTAATGCTCATAATACTCTTTATAGCTCTCCGAGATGCTGGCAAACAGTCTATTAATAGTGACTGGAAGATTGAACACTCTGGAGCATTCAATTTAGCTGGAACCACTGTCCATTACATCAGACGAGGCCTCTGGGAGAAGATCTCTGCCAAAGGTCCTACTACAGCGCCTTTACATCTCCTGGTATGAGGGACGGGTTGGTAACATTGCATAATCAGTTTCTCATGACAACCATCTTCCCATTGGGTCCTCTCCTGTATTTTTTTTTTCTGAAACTGAATGTTAGATAATCATTTAAAATTAGGAGGTGGACTTTTTTTAATGTTTTTAAAATGTATTTTAAATCATGATACCTAAAAGCAGTTTCTACAAAAGGAACACAATGTTTTATGAATTCACAGAGCCAGTGTAGAGATAGAGCACTGGAAAATAGGAGCTGCCTTTGCCTAAAAGCATATATTTACTAACTAGAACAGTTGTCTGTCAAGAGAATGCAATTACATGGTAAATCATAGTGTTTCATACAGTGCCATTGTCTGACTCTATATAAAATGTCTTTGCAGGAGATATTATTTTACCTGGGAAAACAATTTGATAAATATATCCTGCTGTGCTCTCAACTAACTCTATGTTTTCTTCCACAGTAAATGTTTGAGATAACTTTCTTCATCATAGAGCAAAAGACCAGATATGAGTTAGGATAAAGTTTGGAGGGCAAGAATCAGTACAAAGGGACTCTTCCTAGGCTGTCAGTAATTCCACATGCCACATCTACTTAGAGATGTGTGTGATGCGGCCCAGGAGCCGGAGGAATACAGCGAGTGCACTGCTGGAGTGAGTTTATTATTCTAGGAGCAACCTAAACCTAAAGTTCAGACTCTTTTAACAAACCCCACTCATCAAACTACTCTAAAACACAAGTACTTGATTATTTATGTGGGGTGTATCATGCCGCATTATTTGATATTTTTGTACAATTGAAGCTGAATTTGTCTTCAGATGAAGACATCCCTGTTGTTAGTCTAGGAGCTAAAGCTTGAAGTCCCATAGAGGCCCATTTGCTACTCCTATACTAACATGCCTGGAAATTACTTGGAGTCCTTGTTACACATTCTGATTCGTTTGGTCTGAAGCTGGACCTGTGGTCTGCATTTCCGGCCAGATCCTTCTTGCTATTATTATTATTATTATTATTATTATTATTATCCCTTAAGTCTGCTTAACAGTTTTAGAAGAACTCAATAAAACAAAATTTAAGTAGTGTACATAATGTAGCCCAATGAATTAATTAGCTGTGAACAATGTTCTATTTTTCTATGCTCCTTCTCCTACATAAAGTTTAGATTCAAGTACTTAGATTGTAAACATGCATGTAAATTTGAATAATTATTTTGTGTGTCTCTCCAAAATTTCCTTGCATCCCATTCTGTAATTTCACTTGGAAACTTTACTTTGCCATTTCCAGAGAGGGTTGGAAGACAGGAGCAATGTCTAGATCCTTCCATGACTGGATTATTGAAGATAAAGTTATTGGCTGCAGTGATTTAAGCATTGAGTTACAGAAAACACCATCATGTTTGCCTGCCTTGTGTTAATATCACCTACATTTTTAGTGGAAGTAGATGAAGGCTCTACTGAGCGCCTCTACTTCAAAATCTTACAACAGTCTACAGGGAACCCCAGAGTGGAGCACAGGGAGTTTTCCTGCTACAGAATCTGTAATCTGCCTGGTAATTACCATGGTTTTTCCTGGAAGCATGAAACATAATTAAAGTCAGTGAACTGTGTCTAAAAGAAGGCATCTATGTGACCTGGATTTATTCAGTAATCCAAGGGAAACTGCACTTCTAAGATATTTTTCTTTAATGACTATTGCAGACTGAAAGCTGGTACTAAATTTTGAAAGGCAACAGCTTCTGCTGCCATGTGTCAGTATGTGCCCCTCGCCTGTAACATGGTCACACTTTCCTTCTTGCAAAGGATACTGCCAATTTCAAAGGGTTTAAGAAAGAGGTAATGGCTTTGGAGCCAATGCCTTTATTTCAAGTGCATTAGAAATACAAAGACAATCTAAGGTTCTGTCAATGAAATGGCAGTTGGTTAAGAAAAACAGACATGTTTTCGTGTTATTAGTAAGTTGGCAGATAACTGTTATTTTTATATTCATTTCATCAATTTAAAAATGCGTAATTGTTTGTGACCTTGCACTCCTTTTTAAGACATTCAAATTCTTGCTCTTTAAACTCATCAGGATGAAAGTCATTTATATCTGACAATCTAAAATAAGATAATTTAAGCTAAAATCAGCACTATAACACACATTGAATCAGCACACAGTATGTTGGTATTTAAAAACTTAGGAAGTGTTATTTTTATTCCTAATCGAGGTGCTTCATAATTTCAGCACATAAGATTGCCAATACACACATCTAACTATGTCCTAGTAGTTGTAGCGATATATTGAGATATTATATTTAGATCAATAATATATACTGATATATTAAATTTTGATAAAAAGATGTAATGAAAATATAACAGAAACAGCTTACCTTGGGCTTATTCAGTTTTTTTCACAGAATTAATTACAAATTATCTTTACAACTATCTCAGTATAATATATTGAACAAAGTGACTTAATAATTTGGCATGATGGAGATAGCTTTATGGCACAACGAGCTAAGCTTCTAGATGCAATGCCAGCATGCCAGATGGGTAGTAGTACGTCAAGTCCCAGCTGCTCCACTTCCAACCCCATTCCCTGCTAATGTGCCTGAGAAAGCAGCTCGAGTGCTTAGGATGCTGCATCCGAGTGGGAAAACCAGAAGAAGCGACTGGCTCCTGGCTTGGTACAGCTCCAGCCAATGGGACCTTCTGGGAAGCCAACCAACAGATGGAAGATTTCTTCCCCTCTCTCTTTTTCTCTCTTCCTCCTCCCCCTTTCGTTCCTTTTCCTTCTCTGTCTGTAACTCTGACTTTCAAATACATAAAAAATAAATCTTAAAAAAGGAATTTAGCATCACTTGAAAATTTAGGCATAACAGCTTATTTATATGCATCCCATTGTATTACGTGAATTCCTTCAGAAAGTCACAATATCTGCTAAAATGATGTATTTTGGGGAGTTTGGGGACATATTTGTTCTAAGTAGATTCATAAAGTAACATATCACTGATTCATTCACTAAAATATGTCTGGGGTACACATGTGTGTAAGTGCCCATGACGATCCATTATGTAGCTTAGTACTGCATGCCAGAGAACAAAACACACATGAGCCCTGCTTATTATTCATTGCAGTCACTCCCATGGCTTAGTGAACTGTTTACATATATGCATATAACTACACTATGAATATTTACTTAAAATTTCATTTTAACATGGATTTATTTTCAAAGAAAACAGCATTTACTAGAAATGGAAAATCACTAACATTTCCAAAAATAGAAGTTAACTATAAGCATACATGGAATGCAGTGCTTCTCCTCTGGTTGGCTTTCAGCTCCATCCTCTGGAATGGCAGTGATGTCCGGGGACCTTTCCTTCTCTGTTAATCTAAAGACTGCCTGTCCATTTCTCCTTTTCAAATGAATGGGAAGGCTACATTTCTAATATTTTGTGGATCATGTCTTGATTTTGAACTGTACATTCCTGCCCCCACAAATCCCCACTCTTCCACCAAATTCATCATCTACATGTGTCATGTTTCGTGCAACTCTGATTAGACCATCAGATTGAAAGAAAATTATCTGGTAGCTCTGACCTCATTCAAATTGCTTTCCTTCCTGATGTCTTTAGATCAAAGGTGAGTGTGGCAATTCAGTCTATACAAAAGCAGGATGGTTTGCGAGTGATTTTACCTCTCTGCTCTATATTAAAGAAGGTTGCTCATCAAGCAGCAAGCATTGTGAGGCTGCGAGATCCTTAAATCCCTCACATGGATGTGGCTCTGGTTTGACTCATATGCCTTGATCATGTTCATCCTACAGGTACTCCTGTTTCAAGATCAGAACTATGGTCTTCATTACGAATACACTATCCCCTCAGAGCCTCTTCCAGAGAACCAGAGCACCAAAGCACCCGACCCCCTCTTCCTGTGGACGCACACAGGCTGGCAAGATTGTGATGCCACGTGTGGAGGAGGTGATGCTTTTTAAAATATTTATCTTTGCAAAACAGCAGGTGGCTTCTGATGAATCATTAATGACAAATCAAAATCCCTAATGTGAAATTTCAAAATCCATATGCATACATGTATAATTTAGTGGATAACTGTCTGAGCTATTTTGTGGCAAGCAGTCCACAAATTAAGAAATGCTATTTATAAGTTGGTTACATATCTCATTAATATGATTACTCATTGTATTCTACTGAGTAACGTATTTAGTTAAAAATCCGAATCTCTTTGGTATCATTCAAATTGTTAATTTGCACACACAGAGTGAGAGAGGAGAGACATGCAATGTATCACTTCTGTAAAATCTTAGAATTTCTAAATCCTAAGCTATGTATATTCCACATGAGTTTTTGATCTGGACTAAATGTAATGGTACTTTAGCAGAGCAGAATTGAATTTGCTGCTATGAGATCAATATACTTAAGGTAAATATAGAGAGCATGCACATGTCTTTAGTTTTTTATGTCTTGTTTTAATATGAAATTACAGAGGAAAAAAAGGAAGGGAAAGAGAAAGAAAGAAAGAAAGAAAGAAAGAAAGAAAGAAAGAAAGAAAGAAAGAAAGAAAGAAAGAAAGGAAGGAAGGAAGGAAGGAAGGAAGGAAGGAAGGAAGGAAGGAAGGAAGGAAGGAAGGAAAGAAAAGAAAAGAAAAGAAAAGAAAAGAAAAGAAAAGAAAAGAAAAGAAAAGAAAAGAAAAGAAAAGAAAAGAAAAGAAAAGAAAAGAAAAGAAAAGAAAAGAAGAGAAAAGAAGAAAGGGAGGAAGGGTGGTTCTTCCATACACTAGTTCATTTCCCAAATGACCACAAAAACTGGGGCTGTGGCAGGACAAAGAAAGGAACTTGTTTTAGCCCTTCCATGGGCTTCAGGGAACCAAGCATCTGGGAGATTCTCTGCTGCTTTCCCAGGTACATTACCAGATTACTGGGTTGGGAATAGAACAGCCAAGACTCAAACTGGTACCCATATTTGATGTGAGCATTGCAGGCAGCAGCCCAACCTGTGTGTAACAATGCCAGGCCCAAATAAAAGAGTTATTTATTTTTATTGAAAGGCAGAATTACAGAGAGGAGGAAAAACAGGAAGATCTTGCATCTGTTGATTCACTCCCCAAACGGCCACAATGTCTAGAGCTGAACCATTGCAAAGCCAGGAGCCAGGAGCTTCTTCTGGGTCTTCCACACTGGTGCAGGGCCCCTAGGCCTTTGGCAGTCTACAACTGCTTTTCCAGGCCTCGAGCAGAGAGCTGGATAGAAAGTGGGGCTGCCAGGACACAAATTGGCACACATATGGGATACTAGCACATGTAAGATGATGATTTTAGCCACTATGCCACCTTGCCAGGCCCCCAAATTTGTTATTTCTAAAGAGTGTATTACTATTCTCAAAAATTATAGAACCTTTCTAAAATTGTGCTTAAATATTTTTTATTTTTATATTTTCTTTTTTCTCTATTTGCAAGGCTATGAGAGAGAGCAAGAGGGACCAAGCAACCAAAAAATCTTCCATTCACAAATGCTAAGACTGCGCTAAGCCAAAGCCAGGCCACCAGGGCTCAATCCAGGTCTTCCATGTGGCGACCAGGACCCAAGCACTTGAGCCATCATTTGCTGCTCCCAGAGGCACGTTAGCAGGAAGCAAGAATCAGAAGCATGGGATCCAGGACTAACCCAGACTCTGTGATATAGGGTGTAGATGACCCCAAGCAGTATGTTAGCAGTTGTGTCAAATTCCTGCATTTAATCCAACTTGTTTGTTTTACCAATGAGACACATATGTACTGCAATTTGGGGGGTCTGTTGTTGATCACTGAACCAGTTAATTGTAAAGCAGAAGTAAGAGAGGAGGACATGAGACTTCATGCTTCTCTTTGTATCTATGTATGTCAGAAACAAATTACTTCCGTTTTCTTTTTCAATTGATAACACATTTTCTATACCTCTAAAGAAATAATCTTTCAAAGTTAAAAAGCAACATGTTTAATTATGCAAAATTGTGATGTATGCTTCTATTTTGTGTCATACGAACACATCGGCATGAAACAGTGCACCGTCCATTGTGTTTTCTCTCCAAGAAACTGTTGAAATGCCTGCTTTCATGCAGCGTTGCTGCAGCTGGCATGGAGAGGGTACAAGAGAGACTCTCCCGAGGGCAGTGTTCAGGGAAGGGAGGTTGTTGGTGATGGTAAAGACACAACAAGCACACAAATAAGTAGCACAGTTTCAAACTGTGACACTGAATAAAAATCAGGGCCTGGCACAATAGCCAAGTGGCTAAAGTCCTCTCCTTGCATGCAATTGCCAGGATCCCATATGGGTGCCAGTTCTAATCCTGGCAGCCCCAAGTCCCATCCAGCTCTCTGTATGCAGTCTAGAAAGCAATCAAGGATAGCCCAAGGTCTTGGGTTCCTGCACCCACGTGGGAGACCTGGAAGAAGCTCCTGACTCCTAGCTTTGGATAGGCTCAGCTCCAGCTGTTGTGGCTGCTTGGGGAGTGATTCAACAGACAGAAGATACTGCTCTCTGACTCTCCTTCTCTTTGTATATCTGACTTTGCAGTAAAAATAAATAAATCTTTTTTAAAAAGTCAAGGGAGGAAATAAATAAGGCAGTGAAGATGAGAAGAGAAGGATAGGTATAATTTTAAATACGATGGTCAGGGATGGCCCCCAAGGGAAGATGACACTGACAAGTCTCAAGTAGGTTTGTGTGATAACCAGCAGCGATGGCTCCTAGATGTTTCAAGCAAAAGTCTTGAGCCAAAAGTAGAGCTGATTGCTCAAGAAAGCAGCCTTCCTGTTGATGGGGTGACACAGGATGCTGATGAAGAGATGTGGATAAAGGAAAAACTTATTTTGGCTTGCTGTTTTCAGAGGTTGTTTTTGTTTCTGAGTTGAGTGCAGACTAAATGGAAGAAAAGGACAAAGGCAAAACAATCAGTAAGGAGATTACTATGATAATTCATGGGAATAAAATTGATCATAACTAGACTATGGTGGTAGCAAGGGAGAAGAGTGAAATGGTCAGAGTCTGTGGGTATTTTGAAAGTAGAACTAACATATTATGTTGATAGACTAGATGTGGAGTTAGGAGAAAAGATGTTTCAAGGACGATGGTAATGACTTTTGCCAAGCACCTGGCAGAACAAAGTTTAACCAGACAAATCTCGGGGATAGCAGAATGAGGAGGGACTAGAGATCAATGCAAATTTGAGGTGCCTGTTGATGACATATATGTGATGTCAAGGAAGCAATTAGTCGGCAAGTCAGACATTCATGAGATACTAGGCTAGAGATTTACAACCTAAGGATGGAGTCTTAACACTTAAAGTGGATGAAGTCACCAAAGAATTGAGTAAAGAAAGGACAAGTGCATTAAAGGACTGGGATGTGGGGTCTTCTAGCACTTATAGTCTAGAAAGATGAGAATCCAAAAAAGTGGATTAAAGTAAGCAGCTAGCAGCATTGGAGAGAGAGAGAGAAAAAAAAAAAAAAACATGACCACTACAATACTCCTATTGTACAAGTGAGAAAATGTCTTAGAACGAGAAAGATTGACTAGCTGTATCCAAAGCTGTTGATACGTTTTTAAACATCTGGACTGACAAATGATCATTTTGTTTAAACATACAGATATTATAAATGCATTATCATTAATTATTATGATAGAAAGATGGTAATTAAGAGACCTTGTAAAAATATTTTTAATGAAGTGTTTGGCTCAAAATCTAAGTGGAATATATTTAAGAGAAAAGGGCAGAAGAATTAGAGAAAGGAAGGCTGTTGAAAGATGAGCAGAGGCATATGGCCACAGGTAAATCAGAGGAATTTTTAAATTGTTTTGAGTAGGGAATTGCACACATCATTATTTGATCTGTCCATTTTGTACAATAAAACAGGAAATTAATGATATACAAAAAGGAGCAAAATTATTCTGAAGACAAATTCAGATAAGATGCTGAAATGGTCTTTGGACAAAAATGCATAGCCCAAGGGAAAAATCATAAGTTCTCAGTATTTGTGGGGTTACTTTTGGGGGGAGGTGCCACAATTTTTTTCCAAAAAGCTTGCCTTATCAAGGGTGAAAGTGTTGAAAAGGAAGTACTAAAGTCTAAAGTTTTGACGAGTTAGGTTGGGAAATGGTCACTTAGAGAATGAAAATGGATAGAACAGGTGTGTACATTTTGATGGTACCGTACCACTTGAGGTGAGTAGTCATGATTTCATATGATTCCACTCCCCACACCTCCAGGGGTATGTTGCCTTCCATCTATGGATAGTATATAATATAGATGTTCTTGATCAGTTTAGAGATTCCCAGATGAGTATGACAATATAAGAACAGTTAATGAAACTGATGTTGTGTGCAGGGAGTTGATAATAATAAATCTTAGAATTTAATTATATACCCGGCACGGTGGCCGAGCAGCTTAAGTCCTTGCCTTGAACACACCAGGATCCCATATGGACACCAGGGTTCTAATCCCAGTGGCCCCGCTTCCCATCCAGCTCCCTGCATGTGGCCTGGGAAAGCAGTCAAAGATGGCCCAAAGCCTTGGGACCCTACACCCGTGTGGGAGACTCTGAAGAAGCTCTGGCCTCCTGGCTTCGGACTGGCTCAGCTCCAGCCATCGTGGCTGCTCAGGGAGTGAACCATCGGATGGAAGATCTTCCTCTCTGTCTCTCCTCCTCTTTGTATATCCACCTTTCCAATAAAAATAAAATAAGAAAAAATTTAATTATATAAAGACAAAAGCAAAGATTTGGAAAAGCTTGAAAGACACACTGGAATGGTGGTAGGATTGTTGGGTTATGGAGTCTGATGGAGCAGGAGAGTTTTTAGACTGAGGACAAAGAACTGTGTGAAAGGCTTGGAATACAGAAGATGATAGAAAATAGACATAAAACTTAGGCATATTTTGCTTATCAGTGATGGCAAGGACAGTTAGGTTGTCACTGCCAGAGTTCTCAG